CCTTTCAGACATCTTGGGGGGATGTGTTAAGTAACAATAGTCTGGGATGTGTTAAGTAACAATAGTCTGGAATGTGTATAGGGATTGGACATGTTGGGGGGTACCCCTCGGTCTCATTTCTTGCTGGGTATAGCAACTCTGCTAAGTATGAAGTTGGTAGTGGGCGTACACAAAGTGCACACTGGGTATATAATGCATTTATTGGGTATGCACTGGGTGCCTGTACTAGGTGTATACTGGGTACACTATTTTGTTCACTATATGTGCAATTGGGTACAAACTGGGTTTTGCTCAGTTGTAGGGGTATCACTAGGTGTTTTTATACTTGTATTGAGTACAAGTTAAGTTCTGCTCAGTCACCAGGGAATACCCTGCTTGCTGTAGTGGCTGAAATGTCACCAACTAGTCGTCATCTTCTGGATTCATTTCAACAATTTCCACATTATTACTATCCTGAAATCACAACGGAAAGTTTCAGGTTTCGGACACGAGGGTGAATAATGCAATTAAAGAGAAATGGGAGATTAACAAAACAAAAAGAAACTGCACAATGTTGACATTTTGTCGCTAATATAGAATAAGTTTTATAATGGGTAATAATTACAAGACCAAAATATAATACAGATCAGAAATAATTACACAATTTCTTTAGGGTGGTGCTTAGGCTAATTGACTTCATATGATCAACCATCTCTCGACCATTTCATCCATCTCTGACTCTTTCTGGATTAGTTTTATGTAATGCACTGAGCAGATGATTTGAGACAATCTGTGGTGTGAGGACAGATACAAACAATCCTGTGCATGTACGAAAGCTTCAACAATGAACATCACCCCCCCCCTTTCCCCCAATTTGTCACATTTCTATTGCCCCCAAACAAATGCAACCTACCCCTGAATTCTTTCTGGGAACCCAGTAGTTATTTACATAAACAAATGTGAAGCTGAATACCACCAGGCCTCCACACCTGATTAAATCTTTGGCCAAATTGTAATTCTATATTTAACATTCCTCACTGCAGAATCACAGTGCGGAAATGGAATATAAACCATGTCTGTTCTACCAACCCACCAACTTCATGTCTTCTCCCCTCTTCCCATCTTGTTGAGGAAAAGACAAGCACGCAATTAAGTTCTACTGTTAGTTAACACCACCCACTGCACAGATAAATGTATGCCCCTCTCTCTTCCAATGTCACAGCACGTTGCAACCACACGCAGTATACAAGAGCACGCACATGCTGCATGTGCGTGGGACATAAATCACCACAGTGATTGGTCAAAAGATCAAGGGGGTGGGGCCTAATGGATCAATCTGTTGACCTTGGACCAATTTGTCTAAGCACGAAGAAAATAAACGCTTAATAAACAAAGGTTACCAGCTCAAACTGTGATTGTCATGCTAACCAAAAGACAGGTAAATACCATTTCAAAATAATATACATCACAAGAACTTTTGGCTGGTAACCTGATTTGTCAAGCAACATTTTTTCACGCTTAAACAAATTTTTCACTTAATCAGTGCTATGACATTGGCCCCTTATCAAAGTACAGACTACTCCTGTTAGTTATCTAAACTACAACAATTTGCATTGTGACTGATTGCATATGAACAAAAAAAACTGTCCTCAAGACATCATACCAAACTGTGTCAATCAAATGTATCATTTGTGTACTGAACATAAATACCACTTAGCAAAGCCGTAACTCCACTAGGTCACCAGGCCAAAGGTCACCCAGCCGCCTGGCTAATATACATGTATATGCATATGTTCACCTGTTGAGCAAACATTAACCGGGAACCAGCCATGAGCCATAAATTCATGGCATGCCATTTCGGCTGGTAACCAAACACAGCTAAACAAGTACATGCACAAGTACCAGTACTTCCTCAAAAGTGTCTACCTACAGTAGACCCAATGAAGTTGGCTTCCGACACCGACACAAACTGGAGGACGAGAACACATCCTCTTCCTGTTTTTTGGGTTTTTTTTCTTTTGTACCACAAAATCCTGTGAGAAACCACCGTCATATTTTTACAATGCCTTATGCATACAGTACAATGAATTTTAAAAACACCAAAAAGTAAATAACATAAAAATAGATCACATACTTCTAGGAAATATTCCCAAATCAAAACTCTTTTACTTGATTGACCTTAAGTCCACAACTCTGATCAATTTTTTTTTACGATCAGTCTGAGTAGCAGTGACGCATCGAGTAACGTCTTGATGAAACACAGCAATGATTAACAGCAACATACACAAAGACAGACTAATTTTTCACCATATCTTATAAATTTAAAATATGCAAATGTTACAGATGTTATTAATTTGAAGGAAAAAGGATGTTTCATAAAATCTAACAGTCCATTCCAGAGCACTGAAGAATAGAGTATCTTACAGTATAGTGTTGTATCCATATCAGTCTAAGCCAGCAAGGAAGTGACTATCTTCTTAAACCTAACCTTCCCTAACCACACAGAATTGAATACCAGTAAAGTGTGTGAATTTGTGGCACTGGGTACTGTACCCCTAAACTGCTTGTGCTTTAACATGGGTTCAGGCATACCCATAATAAACAGAGTCCAACAGTTTTTGTGCACAGTTTACCATATATGGTGTTGGAATTTGTGTGAATGGGTATGGTTCCTAGTAAATCACTCTGGGGAGTTCGGGTTAATAAGTAGGAAAAATCTAGCTGCATGTTGGTATTGTAGTCACATGTTGCTAATTGTTTCTGAACACTGAAACATGGATGGGCCACTTTTTTTCAGGATATCCTTTCATTACTACTACTCCAATCAGATCACCACTCCAGTAGTTGGCGTTGATTCCATTTTTAACGTCAATACCAAGTTCAAAGTTACAGTTGAAAAAATATACATGAAAATTGCTCGATATGCACAGTTTAAAAATACACGCACGGGGAGACTGTACAGACTAAGACAATTATATACCCTGGAAAGAGAGAATCTGGTTTGTTTCGGGAATCTGTCTCAAAATGCTGTGAACTTCAATAAAATGATATTCGTAACCATCAAAAGCCTCTCCCCAACTTGCTACCAAACACTACATAGATGCTTGGCAAGAAATCCTCGTTCAGTTTTGGAATTAAGCATTTGCGGTTACTAACTCGGTTATAGATGGTTTGTCAAGGTGCATCTAAATATTTGCACAAAGTGACGCTGATAAAACATGGAAAGGGCTTAAAAAAAGCTGTTTCCAGCCTTCTCTCAAATACAAATTTGACCACAGCTTCATATTCTGGGCTGAAATTCACCCAGCGTCAGCAATTAACACTTGGAATGTGACAAATTCAAGCCGATATGATAGTTGATAACCAGTACTGTTACATGCTAGAAATGAATTTTTTTTTAAGGCTGGAAACTACTTTTTTTCAGTTATTTGATACAAAACTGGCAAATAACTTTTTTTTTTCACTCATGAGGCCATGGGCGGGGCATTTGCCTGGGTTGCGTCACTTGCCGCTGCTGCCGAATAAGGGGGCGGTGCCGGCATGGGCGTGGTGGTGGGACTTGTTGGTCCATCTGGCTGTGGCATGGGCATCCCGCTCTGGTAGTAGGTAGTCTGAGGGGGATAAACTGGGTTTGGGTAGGCGCCATCTGGGGGGTAGGCTGGGTTGGGCGAGGCCCCAGCCCCGTTCATGGGCATGGTGGGGGGTGGGTACACAGCCTCTGATTTTGGGTAGAGATGTGGCTTGGAGACGGCCTGTGTATACAAGAACACAAAGAATATAACCAGCACGTTCCTGGAATGAAGACTGGGTGGTCAAGAGCTGTAGCTCCAACCACATGGGAGGAGCTACAAAACCCTTAACTCCTCCCACTTTATCAAAATCACTCCCCGCAAACAAGCTCCCCCAGCTCTCCACTCACCTCATTGTACGATGGGGGACCCTGAAAAGCCCCCTGGGGCACAGGTTGTGCTGGGTAGGCCCCTACCATGTCCGGGTTCTGCTGCCTGGGAGGGGGGACGACCACCGGCTGGCTGGTGATGATAGTGCTGTTCTGCTGGTTTAAGTAGGCCTGTCGACGACGATAGAAACCACAACCACCACAGCAGGTCATCAAGATGAAGAAAATGATGAACCTGCGTATAAACGAGTGACACAATCATTTGAGATGATTCATTCCATTTCCAAACTAATCCCAGTTGTACATTGGTCTTTTGTTTCAAAATTCCCTCTGACACTGAAACAGAATATAAACTGCAACAAAAGCATCAGCTTTCAGTTATCATTTATCAAGGTCAGTTGAGCTGTTTCAAGCAGAGTGCTATCCACTTTTGTTCAGTCAAATAAGGTAAACAGCAACAAAATGTCAAGCTTCGGACCGTTGTTTTGCCCTCTGCAGAGGCACCATTGACAATTTTTTTGGCACACAGGCTGCAACTATAAACATGGGTCCCACGCAACCTATAAACCCCAACTTTTGAACAGAAGATGGGAAAGTACAGTTGCATGTCTATCAAGGATACCAATTGGAGCATGACTTTGCTTCACAGATGATGTCACTACCCTCCTAAATAAAAGTAATCAAGAACAGAAGGGGACCATTTTTACTCACCAGAAGTACCAAATGTTCCAGAAACCATAGTTTTCGTAAGTCAATGGACAACAGCTGGAGTCACAACAATATTCGTCGTTGTCACAGCTACAGCAAATGATTCAAAAACACCGATTATTAAACATATCCCATAGTCTTCACGAGTGGCCTTCCCAAAGCATTACAACCACATGTACTCATGGTGTGGGGTCCACCAATGAGTGCACTCCAGTCATATATCCAGTGGGAGTAGGGAGGGCAAATCTTGTTCCCCCAAGACATGTTACCCTTTTTTTATCTAGGAATTGTAAGCGTTAGCATTAGTACTACCACCTCTCTACAAGGGATAAGGATTCTTTTGTGGATGAAAAGATTTGAAGTCGTTTTTAGAAAAAAAAATCATTTGGCCCGCCTTCCCCGACAAAAAAACCTGGATGTCAGTGGTGGTCACCAAGGCAAGAACGTAATCTAGACGACAATTATCCTGTGCTGGGTCTGTGACATTTCGGGGCTTAATGACATGACAAATCTCTGTTTGCATGAGGAACTCTGAAGCCCTCTGCCTTCAGCTGACAATGACACAGTGACATCACAGATAGTCATTCAGAAGAGATAATGGCATCCGTTAATTCATGCACAACAACAATGGTCAGCCACGCTTGATAGCATTTCAATATGTTTTCCATGTCAGACTCATAAATACATTTGGGCCTGTGAAGGCATTAGTCTATTGGTAGAAAAGGGTTAAAGGGTTTAGAGGCGTCTGTCCCCAGGAAAGATTGAGCCATCCCCAATGCCAGCAGGGTTAGGTTCTCCCTGTTGGAGGGGCAGACGTATCCCCATACTGAGGTTTGGATGCTAGCGCGGTGACATTCATTCATTTATCCTTACCCTTTCATTTCTTAAATTAATTATTTTTTCTTTGACTTGTACTGCACCCTTGATCATTTTTATGGAAACGGCGCATTATAAATTTTCAATTATTATTATTATTAAAGAGCCAATCTTTCTAAAAATCATGAAAACTGGAAACATAATCAGAATGACAACACATCTGCATTACTTGAAATAAATGCTAAAACAGAATTAGACATGACCAGGACACATGAATGTGCCCACATTGAAGAGACAGGATTGATAAATATCATTCAAAATTTGGGCCCAGATTTAAAGTCACGATCTCTGTCAGCCCCTTGACCCTGATTGAGTGTTCACCAGGGAACTGTCCCGAATAATCAGGTTGGAGTAGATGCAACAATCAAGCACAGTCAGCGTCCCTTTGTTGGTGACAATGACAGATTGTGAGCAGGCACGGAAATGTTACTCCTGCTGTCAGGCACAAAGTGTGTTGACACAACTGACGCCATCATCTACATACATAGCTCAAGACCAATCTCAATTATATTGAGATCTACACAGCCCCATTGGAATTAAATGCTCTTAACAAATTGGTTGAATGCACAGATAACAATGTAGGCTCTTCTCATACAACTAGTTCCAAAACCTTGTTGCAATTTTGAAAATTTTCAATGATGCTTGATCTTCATGTACTGACGTAGGGTTTATCTTCCTCCAAATACAGATTTCATTCCGGAACAAAAGCACGGTTGGGCTACCAGAATTACTGTACCAGTTGTGTGATTATGTGCAGGTTACATGGAATCCAACGAGGAAGTGTAAAAAGTATTCAAAAATGGTTTCATTATCACACTGAAATCACGGGGCAAGATTTTTTTTAGCACATTTCAACCAGTTTCATCTTCCACATATGTTCACATTTACGTGAACGACAATACAACAGGTATTGACTAGATTAGAAAACTGCTTCCCCCCTTCAACTTCTATTAAAACTGCATGGTGTTTGCTTGGAATATGTAATTATCTGAAAGGTCAAATGTCAAAATGTTGATGTTCTTAGGAAACAATCAGGGTACCAGGTGTGCAGTGCATGTGCATTAAATGTACACCAATACCTGTGCATGTACAATGTACTTTATCCAAGCACGGTAACATGCTCCATTTGTGTGTAACACACCATAAGGAATTCCTCCATGGGCTAAGCACACCATGTATAAATACACATTGTAGCCCAATAATGCCCAATGCCAATTTTTGGGAAGCAGTCAGTCATGCTCTGTTCAGACAATGATATTTTATCCACTCAGCAAACAAGACTGGCTGCCAGGGATCACCTCAAAACATTTAAGGGCCCAGAAACTTCCAACAGGAACGTCAGCTGTGACCAACTACTCTACGAAAGAGCACAGGAGTTTCTGATGCATGTTTGTCAGGAAATGTAACTGGGAATGTTGTGCACTGACATTTGACAATTAAGGTATACATGTAGGTAGGACTCCATAAAGCGCATTTACCTTCCACGTAATAATTGAAATGTTCTTTTCCAATAAGGTTTCATCTGTTAATTGCTACAGCAGCCGAAAGGTGAATGTTTACAAATTTTAAATAGTTACAATCTGGAGCAATTGGTGAGAGAAAAGGACTGTATTTAGCACAGTATAGAAAATGCAGGCAGTTGCAAACATTTTGGCTGCCGCTTAAACTTTGCCAGTTGGAACCCTGCTGAAGATATTTACAGTATGCGTATTTGCATAAGTTTTCTTCCATACTGACAAAGCGCCCAGTACATGGACGATGCAAACGTAACGACACCGTTTGATCCTGGTGTCAGAGCAAAGAAAACACTGTCATAAGTCCATGACAAAGCATTTGACAAGCACAATGCCCCAGAGGCACTGATGCATATCTTTTCAACAAAAATCAGGAAACGTTCTTCCTTAAACCACCAAATGAATTTAGAGTTGACATTCAGGGTCTAGGGAGAAGAGATTATTTGCAATGACTTGACAAAATCAAACTGACGTGGGATATTACGATACTGAATTCTTCCTGATGAAATTCAAGTGACTATACTTACTATACATTGTCTGTGTCGGGACAGTATTCGCCATACACCTGAAGCAAAAGAAAACAGGAAGATTCACATTTGTCAACATATTGCTACAAAATTATTTTGGCCAAATTTGTGGTTTGATTTGTTCATCTTCTGGCCTGAATATTTTTTAAGTGTGTAAAGTTCATAGTGAACCTTTCTAAAATACTAGGAAAAACCTTTCTAATCCCCCCCCCCAAAAAAAAACCCAGAAAAAAAGAGTAAGCATAATTTGTCAACTTTGCAAAAATTTTGTGATTTACATGTAAATGGCAAGTTGCAATGACTTGTTCACCTCAAACCATAGTCAATTTATGTGCGCGTGTTTAATGACCTTACACTATCTTTCAACTACTCCACTGAAATGCTGACAAACTATTTTTACATGATACAGAATTTGTACAGAATTTTCCAAATTTATTACTATAAAGTATTAAAGTATGACAGTTTTTTGCATATTAGTTCATCTACTAGACTGCTGCACTGTCTCCAAAAAAGGGACTTTTTTCAAGTGGGCTTTGGGATCCTACCATTGCCCTGAGATCCTTTCAATGCCTTCATTGGATTCAGCAGAAAAACACCGAATGTAAGGCTACCCTTTTAAAAGAATACTACTGTTTCCTTCTAGGATTACAAGCAGAAGTCTGCAATAGGATATAAAGGATGGGAAAAAGACAACATCAAAACAATTCTTCTTAATCAATCCTTAATATACAGTAAATTGAGTAATATGGTACAAAGTTCACCAAAAAACAACTTAAATAACTTCTATGAACAGAAATGGGAAAAAGATTTATAATAGCATGTGGATTGTTTGTCTTAGCCTGCTTAGGAAAAAAGTCCCTTTTTAATAGACATTCTCTCTTTTACGGGAATGGATTAGTCTCCAAATTTCTCAATGATTTCTCTGAATCCTGGTTGGAGGTGAATTCTGAAGATTTTGATGAGTGGGGTGGCACGTGGCCTAGTGGTTAGGGTTTGTAGCTTCTGATCATAGGGTCGGGGGTTCGAATCCAGCTGGTAGCAGCATGTTGTGAGATTGGGCAAGTCACTTTACGCCTGTGCGCCTCTCTCCACCCAGGAGTAAATGGAGACCTGTGAGGGCAGACACGGTTATTTTTAACTGTTTGTGCCGAAGTGGCAGCATCAGGCTAGTAGTATGCTCCCCGGGGAGCTGAGATGGTTTCAGGAATATTCAGATGATGTGATGTGATGATGGGCCTACTTCAACCTTTTTTCAGTGCGAGTGCTCAATGATCAAGCAAAACAGACCTGACTAGGCCCGTTTGTTTCACATGGACCTGGATTGTGATTAGTAATCCTGTTAGGCGCCATCTTGACTCTTGCGCAAATCTATTGTAGACCTAGGCCTACTCCCTCCCCAGTTGATTCATTCAAAGGCACATTGACTTGAAGGACTGAATCACGAGGTCGAGTACTTTGAGAACTCAAAGTCACTCCATCATCATACACCGAGTGACTTCAAGCCAATACAGTTTAGGCCTACATGGTGTCATAATGCTATGGGTTTTTGGAATCGAACTTGATAGGTGAATGATTCCTACCCTAAGAGTTATGGGACAGCGCAGACATCCTGCAGTTTCACAAAACTGCGGGTAGCAACTACACCACGCCAATGAAAACTGAAACGAGCACGCTAGTATGTACTGATCAAAGAAAAGACTGTGTAACAAGATCTTCAGACTGGCTGGTGCGTGCGTACGTTGTTCTGGTCACTGTTTTCACCAATGCGGTACCTGCCATTTTACGAGAATCCCGGATGTTCGTTCTGCCCCGTACATAGATTACTCAGCTCTGCTGTCACTATCAGGGTAAACTTTGATTGATTAGCTTTGTTCCATCTGAGAATCATTTATCTATCAAGTTCGATTAAAAACCCCACAGTGGTACGACACCATGTCAACTGTATCGGCTCGAAGTCACACGAAGTATGGTGGAGAAGTGTTTGAGTTCTCGAACAAGAAGCTCTAAGGTCCAGTACTAGGCCTAGGCTGGCCTTTAATAACTTTTTGCAAAATGCAAGATTGCGCTTAACAATGCCAAAGCTGGTTCGTCCTCTTCATTAGGCGGCTTCTGGTGTTGCTGTCATCAGTGACCAAGCAGGAACAAAATGACAGTGGCTAGTCACGCTGTAAATGCTTGAAAGGCACGGCGTACACAGTGGTCAATGGTACATCATGTATAAACATGAATCATGGCCGCTCATGCCTGGCGTACCACTGTCAAAACTGTCTGTGCATAGACGTAGGACAATGCTGGTCTGTGCCAGCTTTTCCTTCCTAAGTTCTAACGCGTAAGGCAGTAAGGCCACACAAATACATTGAGCGTCTCCAAATCCAAGCTTACCTGTGCTATAAATACAAGAAAAATAGTTAATAAGACACCCTCGGTACTGATCCTCTCCATCTCCAAAATGTGAAAAATACTTCTGAGAAAACTTCAACCTTCGATCGTTACTCCGATATGATGCGCTCTTTTAATTACACAACATATACAACTTAACAGTACATGTACAGTACATGTATGTACCGGCCTACCATAAGTACATAAATACAGCGCTGTAGCGTATCTTTGGTAAATAAAACAGCAACTGTGCGCGCGCAGGATCGATCAAGGCGATTCATATGCCTCCGTTTTACACAATCACTGATGACGTTTACCCATTATCGCGCACATTTTGATGACGTTAAAGAAGTAAAAATAGCAATGACGTCATGTTCTAAAAATGTGCTCGGCACTGGTCACCTGGCGTAGAATCACGTCCGTCCGGGTATTCTGGGAATTTCTGGAGATCAGGAAAAACAAGTTACCAGGCTTTACCCCGCATCACATGATAGTGACAGATCCCACTTCTTGCGGCCTGCCTTTCTTTTAAACTGGGGCGTATGAATCTTATCCATGCGTGACTTAGTTTATAAGCGGCATGTTAATGTGCATTCTATTCCAGTGACGGACTGTCATCCTCAAGAAGAAAAATTTTACGGTCACTGAATGAACTTTTGTATCATTTCACAGATAAACTACGAGTATATCATTTTCTTGAATTGATAAAATATTGCCACAAGTTCCGACTCCCTTGATCATTGATATTTCGAAAATAGAGGAAGCTTTAACTACATTTTTACGATTTTATATGAATTCGGGCGCTTCTCAAAAGTGCGCCTCCAAGAGTTTGCAACGCGTTGGCCAATCACGACGCACGAAATCTGTCGACCCAAAATGTACGTTTGGAAAGGGTCGACAGATTTCGCTCGCTGTGATTGGCCAACGCGTTGCAAACTTTTGGAGGTGCACTGTTGTAAATCGCTCGTATTGAAACTTATTACATTCGATTAAATGAAAAATGGAGTACCCGCGGCTGAATTCATCTCTACTTTTTTAAGACTGCAAAGATAAATTGCACCAGATTAAGGAAAACATGTAAAAATGAATATTCAGTTGACGATCGCATCCCGCTGCATACGCACGGAATGCAAATGAAATTCTTGTCTGGTCACTTATCTTTCAATTTTAACCAATTACATTTTTAATTATTCCCACAAAACGAAATCGGAATGCAAATGAAATTCTTGTCTGGTCACTTATCTTTCAATTTTAACCAATTACATTTTTAATTATTCCCACAAAACGAAATCACCCCCCCCCCAAGTGATTTTTCCGAAGTCAGATTGCAGCCATTTTTCAAGTGGCAACCCTCACCCAACTTTCTCGGGCACTTAGGACCATTTTCAACCGTAGTTTTTAGCCCTTCTGGTCTCATATGAAAGCTCAAAGACCCAGGGAGTTGATCCCGGCAACGATTTACACGATCTCACCATTTTGTGGGTCAAACAATCTCTTTTTAAAAAGAAAATGAGGGGGGCACTTTTAATGCTAATGAGCTGGCCAGAAATCCTCACTTGAATTAGTGAATAGTGGTCTGCACCCACGGTGACAAGCGAAGATAACATTGGAGAGCGCCATCTTGCTACCACTCTCCTGGACCGGGGGCGGAGCTATAATTGGCACAGCGGACGGGGAGGCAGAGTGCCGTTTTAAGAAGGAAAATAAACCAGGAACATTTTTACAAATTCTTTCTCTTCTTCAAACTACAATTCTGCCTACTCCTCATCGTGTACCACAACACGCACCCCATATTGAATAATTTTTATATATAGCTCCGTATCAGTATTAATAGACACAAAAATTGATGGCCAAAAGGAAACACTGGTGCTCAGTAAATCCATACACCTTTGGGGCGTTCATCGTCGGATACCAAGTTTGTTTTGGTGGCGCCCTTTGCAGTCCCATATTTCGCCACAGCATTTCACACGCACCTATTTTGTTCGTGAGGTGGAGGATTGTGTTGATGGCGGTCTCGATCAATTTGTATTTAAACTGATTAGACGATGATTTCTCCTTTTGTCGGTGGAGGGACGAGGGGCTAAGACTTAGGTTTGTACCGAATGTTTTGTTGTCGTTTTTGTCTTCAGACAGTAGAAGGCGAATTGTATGAAGTGATGATTTTTTGGGGGGCCACGCCAAGAACGTGTGTTAACCATGTACCACCCATAATGCCATCCTATGGCAATCATGAAAAATAATAATTAATAAAGTGATAATATTGTCGGCTTACATCATGTACCTGTACACGTTTCACTTATTTTAGACTGTAATTTTAGACTCAGAGTTCATGTTATGGGTGGGTATATGCACTGAGAACATGCAGAAACCAGTGGCTACACCATAATATTCCATAGTTACGGTAGTGGTGCTGCTGGCTGGTGGCGTGGCTTGCAGTGAGTGTGGTAATTGCAGTCTCAATGATTGTATTTGTTACGCCCCAACTATAGCTGGGACAGTCCCAACTGTAGTGCTGCAATTGGGCTGGTCCAACTATTTTGTTGACCAATTTCTGTAGGCAATTTCTCAACCCTTTTCAAGTTTATGCATGTCAGGCTTGACACAATTCATCTAAAATATGGTACTTCATCTATGACATGACATTGTAAACTATATGACTTTGGCACATGCTGCGCACATGCACACTTGACCTCTGTGCTATAGTTGGGCCGGCCCAACCTATAGTTGGGACGGGCCCAACTATAGTGCAGACTGATGCTGTAGTTGGGGCATATCAACAAGCTTTTAGAAATTCATAATTTTAACTACCAATTCCTAAAATTGATGAATTTTGCAGTATTTCAGACCGATAATCTGTAGAACTGTCCATAAGATTTAGTTTGATAGAACACTCCTGATATGTGTACAACTTCATTGTCCTTTCCCTGATTAAAACCCAATTCGGGATTATTCATTTGACATAAATTGCACAGGAAGTAGTCTTTCAGCATTTTGTACAAATCACAAGTATATGATTCACCTTGGTGTATATTATGCATAGGTCACCACCTTCAGCCCCGGCCCCGCGTTGCTAAGCCAAACTAGCTCAGGTTCCAATAGACACTGCTATCACTTCAGCCTTGTATGTTGAGATTACTGTATTTACATGCTGTCTGCATCTGTAGAGTTTGTACCCCCTGAGTGGACATTGTCTCAAGGTTCTCAAAGTAAAAGCATGTGTGAAGATGCATTGTGAACTTATTTTTAGACCCTTTTTTTCATAACTGGGGACAATTTCTATTCATAAGCTGCAACAAACCATTTGCCCAAAAGTAAAAAGAGGCCCTTCCTTGCATTGATTAATCATTCAAACTTTACTGGAATTTCTCTTCTGGGTGTGACATGCTTGTGTCCCTGTTACATCTGACCTTTCTTATTTGACAAGGAGATATCAGAATTGATTTCAAACTATTACTTTTTGTTTGAAAGGTAATTTGCATTAATTACAATTAACTATATGACTATTGGTTTAGCAGGTAATCTGCATTAATTCATCGCTCTTGGAAATTAGAAAATGTGTTCTGAACTTACAAAATCATATGTCAGATGTGACAGGGACACAAAAAATGGACCCCTAATTTCTGGAATTCCTGCCCTTCTGCATGGACGGAACTATCACAAGTATGTTCCAAACCTTTATGAGGGGAATGGAAGTCACAGGAAGGAACATAAAAGGATTTTAAAAAGTTGTACATGTAGTATTTAAATATTTCAAACTTTTTGTGTAGTGATGTGAATGTGTGTGTTTATTATTCATACAGTTGGTTTCCAACTCCACATGTGCACTAAAACTAATAACTACATGTATGCAGATGTATATGATCAGTACTTTTGTCATTTCTATATCTAAGACTTTACCAGGAGAGGTAAGTTACACTAGGACTACAGTCAGTAACGCTGCCCTCTGGTTTCTACTTTACAGGCTATCTATTCTAGACAAATGCCCTTGGTGGCATTATGAAATTCCAACCTTACCCATTGAAGAGTATCCCAGATACACCACCCCCCCACCCCTCCTCCTTTTGCTCACCCCAAAGGTCATCAAAGCTCTCTCATCAAACTTGGCGCTGCCAGATAGATAATGAAATGCTCCCATTATTTGAAATTGCCCAATAATTCATATCAGACAGTCAGTCACCTGTTATCTCTGACCGTTGTTCTTTGGGCCACCAGCCCCTGTAATGTGCAGTACATGTGTCTTGTCAGGTTTATAATCTCCCAGGGTCCAAACCTTGTGCAAGTACGCATCACTTGTGTGGTGTAATCCCCAGATCAAGTACAGGAGGTTGAAGTTATCTATGGTCATTCATATCTTGGTTGCAAAGGTGCATGTTACACATGTATGTACCTGTATTATTTTATATGCACCTGTCTTTGGAGAGTTCCAATTACTGTGAAGTTTCAACATTGTTGGCATGAAGAGTTCTTGTCTCGTTGGCATGAATAGTTCTTGTCTTGTGCGCCAGTGATTACATCATCTCCAGGCAGTGCTTCATGGTTGAGGTCCTAAGGTCCCTCTGGGGGAAGGTCGAGTGTTTGTTCTCTTCACTGGTGATTCTTCCATCGATTGATGTGTTTCACATGCCTGCTTGGTAGAATTTTATTGCTGGTACCAGTGTCGTCAAATCACAACTGCAGAACCCAGCTCTGTTTTCCTTGTGAGGTTTGCCTTAACTTGTTGGTTGTGCTTTCCACCAAAATTAATCAATTTTGGACGAACTGTTAGTTTTTGTTGGTTCTGGCCATCCAGGTCAAACCTCTTGATTGGAAGGAACTGATTTATTCAGATTAGAAGCAACCATTTTCTGCCTTTGAAGCACCGGTCCGCAACATTGATTATTCTTCCAGGCTTTTACTCCGTCAGTTTGTCGGCAGTCTTGGGATTTGCTCGTTTTTTCTCAGTTTCTTGGTGCCAGTCTGTGAATTCTGACATTCTGCTCAGATCTGTGGTCGCACCGTATACAATGCTACAACTGGGCTCTGGATCGGGTTGAATTTCCAAACGAGGTTTCTTTCTTTTCCTCTCACTATTGATAGGACAAGACTATAATTCATGAAACATGAAGCAATTGAGGAAGGGAGCAGAGTTTGTGTGGATTTTGCACAGATACATCACAGCGGTTGAGATTTGGCGAAGCCTGAGTCTGGTCAGAAAAAAGCTGACAAACAGATACTCTAGGTATTATCCCATTTGGAAATTTTTATTGGTTTTAAAATTTTTTTTTTGTAACTTGATTTTAAGTGAAATATGCCCTTAATTTGAACTTGCACATCCTAAGTAATAATGTGCTTTTCCCCTGTATTTATCTAGTAATTACCAGTAGCATTCTGATTTGCCTATAAAGTTTGAAATATTTCAGGACATTTTCCCCTTAAAATTTCAAAGTGCGACATTGTGACCTAAAATATTCACCATTTTCCTCACCTGTTTGTGAAACTTGTTGTGTCCTGTTTTTGCCACTTTGATTATTTTTTAGCAATCATTAGAATTCCTCAAATTGTTCATTTGTACGTGCACTTAAAAGATGAAAATAAACACAGGTGAAAAGCATATTATGTGAAATCCTATCGAAAGCAAAACCAAACCCCCCAAAACCAACAAAATATTTCAAATTCTCACACAGCTGGTGTACATGTACATGTACTGTAGGAGTTGATTTCAAGCTTCAAGTGTTAACAAATTACAGCTTCTGCATGTGCTGTACACGTGGCCATCCATGTGGTGCTCAAATATAAAGATACAGTGTCTGTTGGAAATGCTACATTAGAGATTGCCCCACCTGAAAGCTCAATATTTCAATAGCCCCATTGAGGTGTTTGGCCTCTGGTGGCATTGTCTTGCAAATTTGGTACAAAAGTCCATTTCAGAACTGCCTGTGTGTAGCTTCATAGAACGCAAGTAACAATTTGAATGATATTCAGATGCTTTGAGTTCTGTATGATGGCTCCTAGAATTGTGCTGGATTCGTCTTCTACTTTTTACAGAAGCTTACCTTTGTCAGGGGCTCAGAATTGTATGTTTGTAAGAACCTTTTGTGGCTGTGACGTTTTTTATCCTGTTGAAGGCATTATCACACTGCATGTACGTGTATGAGGTTTGTTTACAACTTTGCCAAAGGCTCTCGACGTACGGTACTGTGATAATAAAGTGGAAAAATCCCAGAGCAAAATGTTCCATAATTTGGACTTCTGCTGGTAGTTTGACGTGATCACTTTGTGGAGCACCCTGTAAAAAGAATTAAGGCTTCATCACATGGGAGGGGGGGGAAATTTTTATAGATTTCACTCAGAAATGATAGCTTCAGGGTCTGTAAACACGTGTATGCCTTTTACAGTTTGTTTTTGTTCAAATATTTATAACTGTCCATAAATGCAGTGAATTTTTCAAGTACTAAATTCTGTTCAAACAGATTCGGCGTTGGCTTAACGTTGTTGTACATGCACTTGGTTGAAGTTGGACCTTTAGAAACAGAGTACATCCATGTATCTATTCTCCCTATTCCTTTCAGAAAGCGTGTTCAATATGCTCCGTGCTGCTTTGCTGATAATCCGGGTGAACTGTCTTTGCTGAACGATGCCCACCGACAGCAACAGCCGCGACGACACATAGCAGTCATGGTAGCAGAACGACTCAAGTCGTTGGTGGCCGATGCCTTCTACAAGCATGGGCAGTTCTGCAGTGCCCATCCCTGGCCAGTCATTACATTTGTTTGCGCCGTCATCCTGATTGCCAGGTAGGCAATGGATTGTCTGTGCTTGCCCGCACTCTACCCCCGATGGTCATACTCTGAATCATTTTAAAAAAGCTCTCAGTTGCGTTCATTTCCCATACTGATTCCCCATTGTTGATGTCAATCTTTTTAAAAACCAAGCATTGTTGTCTGGCTATGGCTTATCACCGTGTTTCACTGATGAGATAAAATAAGCTGTAGCCGCTGCAGTCAATTTGGTTATGGGTAATACCAGAAATTAGGGGTCCATTTTTTTCATTTGCGTGTCATGTGACATTTGATTTTGTAAGTTCAGAATGCATTTTCTATTTTCCAAGAGTGATGAATTAATGCAACTTACAATGTACCTGCCAAACAAATAGTAATAATTGAAATCAATTCCGGTGATATTTCCATGTCGAATAACAAAGGTCAGGTGTAACAGGGACACGAAAATGTCCCACTTTTGGACCCCTGATTTCTGGAATTACCCTCAAGGACATCCATGGGGGTTTGGCTACACACCTAGGTGTGCTGACTGTCTTTGATTCTGAAAACTCTACAGCTTGAGATCAGATTGAAAGTTTTGGGATTCTGAGACCCAAAATCTTGCTTCTGCTTGGCAGAACCAAAAAAATTCAGCAAGAAACAGTTGAATGGGACAAACCAACAAAATAAATTGAGAAATTATTCATTGAAATCGTACGGCATTTTGGTTGGTGTGTTTGGCCTGATTAGCGCACTGAGCTGCGTGAGCTCGTTGTCCCTTGGCATTGATGCTGTGAAATATGATCCATTATTTCATGTCAGTTTGGTCCAACCAGCTGCGTTCTCAAGTGTCACTTTCTGTTGTACAATACCAGCATAAAATAAGTCAGCGAACTGTTACAACCATGATGACTAATTGCCACAGGACAGAATTGTTTATGTTGCGTACGGAATATCATTTTCTGTTTTGTGTGGTCATAGAATTTAAATGTCGTTCTTCTTGTCCTATCAATTATTTCATTTTTATTTTAAACTTTTGATTTATGAAAGCCATTCTCAGTGTATTACAATTCATCCAACAGTTATGAATAGAAAATTTATTTTTCACCTTCAGAAGGTTAATTTTTAAATATTGCATGCAGGGTGAAATTTTTGGCAAGGTTACGGTAAAGACTTTGAAACTGTCCAGTGGTAATGCTTGATAGAAATGAAAACACCCAAGGTTATCAAATTTTTCTTTCCTATTAACTCGATTGTTACCACCACAGATTTCCTGAAAAAAATTGGTCACACTCCAGGGAGTTTTCTTCTAGGTGAACAATTGATAAAGCACCACGTGTTATCCTGTTCATTTTTTGGGGGGAACCACACACTCCACTTTTATTTTTTTACGAGCATATTTCCTGTGTCGAAGGGATTGTGTGTACAAAAAGTATTGCATCATAATTTCAGAGGAGGAAATACCCAGCTGAACATTGGACCGAGTCCCGTAATTTAAGCACCAATCGAGCGATATCCTCGTTATCATGTGATTTTACTGAAGCAGTTCCCATGTGGCATGCCAAGAAAGTACATGTACTTGTTCTATCTAGCTGTAACAGTCTACATTCATATACAGTCATAATACGTGGGTCATCACTTGATGCTGATTATAAGGTCATGCAGGTCATAAATAGCTGAAATTATCCTATTTTCTTGGCTTTTCTTGTGCTACATGTGCATATACGTGTATGCAGTTTCAAAAGCCACAGAAAATAATTCACATGCTCTATTTTTACCTGTTGAATTCATCAGTCCAGGAAAATTGGCTGTCCGGTTTTGTGGATTTCCAGAGCTGCTTGCTCTCTGGTCCAATTCAATGTTGTTCCTGAAATTCAATCCACAATGTGCAGTGGATATGCTCACTCAAGCATTGTACACTAAGGACTCATGTTACATGTGTTTTGGATGGTAGCGTCATCCCAGAACTGCAGCTCTGTACAATGTATTTGTTTTCATTCTTGTCGTCGTCACATTGAGTAAAAATGTACGTGTGAGTGTATGGGTGTTTACAGGTTGTCTTTGAAATGCGCCTTCTTGCAGCAGCAAGATCGTGGGACGGTTTGAGATGATACACATTTCAATGTATTCTGAATAGGGTGCACATATTCAACTAAATGAAATGGAGCTCAGTCTTGTTTGGAAATTTACATGTAAATAAAAATTGCTTTTGAAGGAGCATTTAATCAAACAAAAATACAGCCTGCCGCAGCTTCAAATGTTACTCAATCTTTGCTCGGGAGCAGTCTGCTCATGTGGTCACCTGTGCTCATCTCCTGAGGAAAGGCAAGCAATTTTAGATTGGCAGTTTTTGCCGAGTATGACATCTAACCCCCTCCTTCCATTCTTTACATACCGGTAAATCTTCAACACTTGTGAAGAAATCATTATATTTCCTTCCAAATCATTGGATACATTGGAAATCTGGCCTTAGATGGCACCAAGAGGGGGTCAGTTTCAAACCTTTTGCTTGAAATGGACAGGCAGGTTGTACCTTCGCTTTGAAGGATATTTTAATCAAAGATGAAAGTCGTGAAACCCTGTTGGGGGCGGGGCAAGTATTTACACAATAACTAACTTTGAACTAATTGACTGCAAAGTACTGTAACCATCAGGGGCTACGCCACGCACAAATAATCACCGTTTCAGGAAGAAAGTCCAGAGCAGAAGGATTGCCGAGATTGGACTGATATTAAAATCTCATTGTTTTGTTTCAGCTGCCAGTAACTTTTCAACACTTGGCCGACATAATTAGGCTGGTTATCTGTCTTTGCCTGCCGGTACTGGTACCCCTCTTTGAATTCATCTGAGTGCAATAACAAGTGCCCAAATATGGCACTTGACCTTGGGGGCAAGGGTCATCCACTCCCTTTGTTTCGCCTTTGTCATGGAGCATCCTCAATCCAAAGTGACTCACCAGCATTGACCTGCTGGTAAACAACTGTTCGACCTGCTGGACCCAGTTGTGCAAAGTGTGGCACTTGTTGCCTAAGATACATCACAGAATACCGTACACGTGGAGTCCGCATGCATTGCATATATATTTAACCTTTACCCAAGCGCATGTACATGTATGTTTATTTAGGATTGTAGTGAATTTTGAATGAATGCAAGTTAACCGACAGGTGCTGGCTCGAGTAAAAAATAAAAAAATGACATGTAATCCTGACACATTTTAGGCCTTGTTGTGTTCAGGTGGTCCTTTCAGTTGCCATAGTTTCTTGCTTTTGATCATTCTTAACCCTAAATCTTGAAATACCTGCTGTATGCTTAGAACAACTTGATCTGACTTAGCAGTAGTTGGGGAATTTATGACAGCAGAATCACCTCTGGAAACTAGCCAGTGTAAATTCACATCCACTGTAGAGAGTGTCTCAGTTTTGCTTTCAAACAATGTGCCTCTGGTCCAGTGCACAGGTTTTTTAATCATTTAACCCTAACAAATGGAGGCTATGGTAAATTAATTGGATTGATGAAATCTTAATTGATCCCATTTAATAAATGTGGCATAGTTTGTCCCAGTGGACTGTGCAGTATGGTTTTCTTATTAAATTGATCCAAAGGAAATAGATGTGAAGTTAATTGCTGAAATTGGTTGGAAATATTGTCTGATGGTACTTTAAGCTGACGCAAAATGAACCAAAGAAAACTGGAACCAGAAATAACCCAAAAATGATGAATCAGCATGACTTGGCACTTTTTAAGAGAAATTACAATCCATTTTTAAGTTTGGTAAAAATGTTTTAATGATTCTTTGTTTGGTTGGATAGGTCTTAAATATTGCCAGAAACTTGTTTTTGCCTGTTTAGAATGTAAAATTCACGACACCTTGTTGGGGGGCCTGTTTGAATCCATTCGCAACCTCTTCTGTGTTATCAAAGGTGACAGACATGTCAGCCCCCATTGACCAGAGCAGTATATAGAGTAGCGCCAACTCTGGAACCAAAATGGCTGTTTCAATGGCTGTTGGCAGTAGAGCATGCAGCTATTGTGTGCTGATTGTCAATGCTCCACCATTTTGGTCCCAACATATGAGACACTCATGACGCAGTTTTCTCTATAAACAGCTGTGCTATGGACAGGTGAATGACTTTCTTATTCTCTGTTAACAACTATCCACAAACCCACACACACCCATCATGCACACGTGTACCGTGTAGTAATTGAAAAAAAAACAGCGTACATACATTCATATGCTCGTACCTGTATCTGACTGAAATAATTCTGACTGTGTGGATTTAATATGTAACAGCATAAATGACGGTTTGGAATGATAGCCTCCTCAAACAATAAGGATGGTTTTAATCTTTAAATGGATTCATTTTTGAAAGCTGTTAAAGACCTGTTTAACATAGAAAGTAATACAGGTACACGTAGTGTAAGGGATAAGTTTTGGTTTCTGAAGATCGCAAATGCATTTGCGTAATACTTGCAACTGTAATCTTTTCCATGGAAAAATTGCACTGTGCTCTGCATTATGTACATGTATTCACCCTAGATTGAAAATCTAGCAAAATATCTACATGCTACACGTACTCTCTTTTTGTAATGTAGGATGCATCAGTTTGTCAACCTGTTCTCCAACAAATGTCACTGAGTGCACAGAAATACCTACAGTACATGTAATGAGTGCTGACTTTGCCTTGGATTTCCCCGGAGCACACCTCCCCCTTCTCATTTGACATAACCCATTTCCACCCTGCATTAACCCATCTTGACCCAAACCCCCAACCAACCTGTCCGTGTACCCCATGCCTTCCCCTCCTGTACCCACTTGCACCCTCCACCGCATGTCAACCCTCCACCCCAGTTGCTGTTCCAAGAGCCCTTTGCATCATTCCAGTGGTCGATTGGCAATGTTTTCACCCCTTTGCCTATCACAGCTATCCCATTGTGAACCTGCCTCTGCCGGGCACCGCCCCCATGGAGTTTTCCTCCCCCATCCAGGGGTTCAGAGTACCCCTCCAGCGCTCCAAAGGGCCCATCCAGGATCCCGGCGTGGAGGGCATAGTGGCCCCTAGATGGGTAAGTCGAGAATAAAAATGCCTTCTTTCCTTCTGAAATTTATTAGAATGAGTTACTCTTGAAAAACTTTCTTGAGCTGGTTGCCTAGTTTTTTTCCCACCAGCAAAAAATATATTGCTTAGAGCATTCAGCATGCTTTCTGCATGCTGAATGCTCTAAGCATGCTGTATTTAGGCTACCTATTTAGGCTGTTAGCAAGGCTTGCTCAGTTTTCATCGCAGGTCAACCCCATTGTTATCCAGAAATTTTGCTGTTGCAAAATTTAAACCACGGTGCAGAAGTCCAATAAAAAGACCTCTTGTATTTCACGGGATCAGATCATGTTGGTAAGAGAAGTGCAAGGCCAGACAGTGGATGACATGAATTGACTGATAAGAATGTCTGCTTCTGTGTCCATGTTCACACTGATGTTTGTTCATGTTGCATCAGGAGTGTCTTTGTGCTTGTATTCCAACATTTGTTGTTTGCATAGGCTGTCTGACTCAGATAAAATGACTAAAAATAGCATCACTTACAACCCTGAAAGTTCACTATTTCCCTTTTTGTTGGTTTTTAGAATTTGTCAGTGCTAATTATGGTTTAAATAAATTATAATTTTCAACGTTTAATTAATTTTGAAATTGATCCAAATGACCAATTTGATTTACAAAGCGTACGCGAGAGTTTTTATCTTGTGTAAAATAAGTCTAACTACAATACCTTTATAGAAAAGTATACTCTCTTCTTAAAGAAACTCTGGTTTAACCAAAAAATTCTGAACTTTATATTTTCAGAAACAATTGCACAAAAGCCATTTGCAAGTTAAATTTGAAGAAAATCTGGTACACTGAGTTATTTGTTTGCACACAAACGTAACAATTTTAATTCCCCAGACTAAAGACACTGTTGCTGTACCTCGTGATTCGGGGCAAGCTTTCACAAAGCAACCACCATCTTTGGAATGGACTGGTTCCTTTGTGCCCTTCTTATCCATTGGGAATAGTGTATTGTTGCGAGGCATCTCTTATGTAACTAAGCGAAAGCTTGCCCCGAATCACCAGGTATAGCAACAGCGGTTGTAGCATGGAGAATTTAAATTGTTATGTTCCCGTGAATTTAAAGAACTCAGTGGACCAGATTTTAGTCAAAGGTCACTCGCAAAAGGCTTATTGTTGAAGTACAGTTACTGCTCATTAGCTCCATCCTTGAATTGAAGGTTAATCAGTGTTTCCCTTTTTGATTAATTGTTTGAAGATTTCTTCATGTATTACATATTTCTAAAGCACATTATGCATTTACCTACCTCTAGTAATGCACCATTGATCTTCCCTGATGTTGAGTCAAATTAACGGACATGTCCCACCTATTCAATTTTGAGTTTGGGAAATTTTAAGAAGTTTCAGCTTTCGTCAATTTGCCTAATCCTTCCATTTTTAAAAAACAGTTTTCAGGCCCGCCAGTTGGATTCATCCAGCAGTTTGTCATCAATGCAACCGTATCACCATGGAAACGGGGTTTAATCCCAGAAGATGCCTTCCGAGCCCCGCTGTCCAAGGCATTTGATCTGCGGCAGGATATTGAGGAATATCAAACCTCGGCTGGGTAAATTTCCTTTCTTCATTTCAGGAGGTTGTCCTACTTGTCTTGTGTCCTTCTCGGACAGCATTGTAAGTTGAGTGCATAACAAATTCTGACAAGTCCTCGTTAAAAGGCTTATGAAAGGACTTGAGATGTGTTTGTGTTCCTTGTCATGGACTCCTGCCAAAAAGATGCCAGACTTGCACAACCTCTGAGCTAAGACTTAAAACCATCTCAATCAAGTCTCCTCATTTTTCTGCCTGTCCGTCTTTCTGTTTGCGTGCCCGTCTAGGAAATCGGTGCGGAGCTTCTGTCTGTACGTGATGGAGCCAGAAGACGACTGCAAGGACACCCTGCCGAGGCACAACTGCCTGATGGTGTCCCCAGCCAACGTGTGGGGGGATAGTGCCAACAAGTTCCAGCAGGACGCCAAGCTGGTCAACTCAATCTTTGAGAAGCAAGGGAGCATGGAGGCCACTCCTAGCATCAAAGGTGAAGGAATGGAACTGCTATCCTGAGAATTTATAGCCCGTCCATAATCTCGCGGCTGTGGCTAGGAGCAACACATACAGCTGTAGGAAGTTGCTGAGGCCACCAGCCATTGTTTCCAGTATTACAGCCATAACATTTCGACACGCCCACAACTTCTTGTTATTCTTGGGTCTGAGCTTGCTCTATAGAGGGTGCTGTTTAGATTACTCACTAGCAAAAGTAAACCCACAGCTTTGCAAAGAAAAACAAGGTATTTGATCATGTCTAATTACTGTGAAAAGAAACGCTTCATATTTTAATTACCAGCTACCAGTAGAAAGAGGATTTCGTTCAAGATATGAAATGAGCAGGTTGCATTTTGTTTTCATAAACATAGTTACTTGAATTTGGAGGGAGCTTAGAAAACTCCATTCTGTGTTTAGTGGAGATAGTCAGCTTGCCAAGGCAACTTGATCTTAGCATCAAAGACACTGCTCAGTCTTCCAAAGAAAGTAACTCTACATGTCACTTTGGAATCCTAATCCCCTTTATGACTAATTCGGAATTATTTCTGGTCTCCTCTCAGACCTCCTGTTTGGCATTCCCTCCAAGTACACCGGCATTAGTCGCTTCTACATCCGCAGTCGACAGCGCCAGATCTCCTTTGCCATCACCTTGGTCCTGCAGACCTACAACCAGACGTTCGTCGAGGGTCTGAAGGAGCACCTGCTGCGTCGCCATGGCGACGGCAACATCCAGCAAGATACCAAAGAAAAGGAGCAAATCGTTCACATTTATTATCAGGTAAAGAAAAACATAAACTTTACAACCAATTACACCGTAATACAAAATTCATCAGGTATCATTAATTTGAATTAACCAACTGATCCCATCAAGACCAAAGGTTCAACGGTTCAAGTGTCTATATTAGTATAGTCTTAAATCTCATCTGAGGAACCCCAGCAGTATTTTTTGGACAAGCTTTCCAAATTATGGGACTTGCAGTACTAGAATTATAACAAGGGCTGTATCCTACAGCAAGGGGAAAAGATTCTAAGTGTCTCATTCATGCTCAGTGCCTTCCTTCTCAACTTGACCAATTCTGGTATCTTGAAACAAGTATTTTTATTTTTGGACATTTCCTTCTAGGATGAGAAGGGCCTTATTGAAATGTCTCCCTTGGTCATCATCTACGTCTTGCTGCTTCTCTACATATACTTCTCCATTAGTAAGTGAATCGGCCAGGTTTTGAAATCAAAGCGCTGTGTCGTAGGCCTACCTTTCAATCAATGTTTGGAACTGTTGCAGAAAAGTATTTCTGACATCATGTTTGCCAAGTAAGGAGAAAATCTGACTTTTAACCTGAAGCATTGCCAGCATTTGGCAACAAAGATCTCAGATAATGGGTGAGATTTCTCAGCTTTTTAGCCGATTTCAGCTTTTTTGGTTTTGGATTTCAGCTTTTATCCTCAGCGGCTGTGTACAAAAGTACAGGAGAGTTTCACAGTTCAGCTTCTTTATGCCTTTTTTCAGCTGTTTTCAGCTATTTTTATCATTGGTCAATCTCACCCCTGGATATGATAACGTATGCTGAGACAGTGCCTCAAGCTGGATTGAACCAAAATAAAGCTTATTCTCGTTGCAAAGTATCACTGTTTCCAACAGAAGAAGTGTCTGAACATCGGGTATATATTCCCAGTATGGAAAGACTTGTCTTTGTTGATTCTTCAAAGGAGTGACCCATTTTGGCTCGGGAAAAAAATGGGGAAAAAAAACCTTTACGTCCGTGAAGAATATGCCATTTTCCAAAGGACTGCTCAGAAGAGAGCAGGGATGTGTCCGAGACTTTTCCTCACCTTCTGCTGTTCCCTCTGATTATTTGCCAGGTACGATTGAGATGGTACAATCCAAGTGGGGCTTGGCATTTGCTGCCGTCATCATGATCATGTCGTCTCTCTCCATGTCTGTGGGTATCTGCCTCATGTTTGGCCTCACCCCCTCCCTTAGTGGCAGGTAAGACACACATGTCCCCGTCTGCTCGTCCTAATCTCCTGAACTTTCTTCTGCGAAGAAACTTCCAAAATCCTTTAAAATCCAACAAAATCTGAATATCACACCCCATGTCAAAGTGGCTGGGTCCTATCATCCAGACTCCATCAAAATGCAGCAGAAGCAGTGTATAGATCTCACTGTACCCTCAGCAACATAGATCTTCCATGTCATCTCTAAGCCATAAGAAGCCCTTAAGGTTAATATTGATGAAATAGGTTGGCCCACAAAAGTATTCATTCTACCATTTAAAATCTAGGGATTGATTTTCTAATATATGTTTTGTCATTGTCAAGCAGAATTTGTTTCTTTGTTTTTTCCCGCTTAGCGAGGTATTCCCGTATCTGGTGATCATAATTGGGCTGGAGAATATCCTCGTCTTCACCAAGTCAGTAGTCTCCACTCCAGTCCACTTGGCCGTCAACATCCGAATTGCGCAGGGTGAGGCTTGATTCGGTTGCACCAAGAAGTTACAATCACGGATAGGATTTTTTGCATCTGTTTCTTTCTGGAACCTTCCAAAATCCTCCACTTAGCAGGAAACCTTTGGCATCGCCTTCAAGTTTGGATTTTCAAGGGACCTCAGTCCCCATGTACAGTGATACTGATTCGGCTGGGATGCTAAACTGGAAATTGTTTTAAGTTTTGACCACTCAACAATAGCCTAGCTGTTTTTCATGTTTGTCTCCTCGCAGGTCTGAGCAAAGAAGGATGGTCGATCACCAAGAACCTGTGTGCAGAGCTGCTGGTCGTTCTCATTGCATTCTTCACCCTTGTTCCAGCCATTCAGGTATTGTTAAGCACCACAGTGAGCTTCTTTCACCGTGTTCGCCCGAGCGTGGGCCAAGAATAATAGCTGAAAAGCGGACTGAGGATCTCAATTTTTATGGCGGCTTTTACTGCTTCCCGTAGCGAAGAGGTTAAGCACCACAGTGAGCTAGTTGGGTATTCAAATAGCGCAGCCCAAAGTGAAGTGCGTCCAAGGTCATTCAGACGCACATGCAAAATCTGCCCACTCAGCGCAACCCTAAGAGGACTCGCACGTGTGTTTTGTTACGAGTATTAGTAGCCTGATGATCAGGGATAATTATAAGAAGTGCCTGGTAATCCATCTTTACGTAAAGACAATCCTCATTAAAAATTGTCAGACAAGGAGAAAACTTATAGCAGTGTCTTAAGAATCTTAGCTTCACTCTAATTAGTAATAAAAACAGACTGATTAATTTTTCGTCATTACAAAGAACTGTCTCGTTACTTTTGAAATCGGTGAGATAAATAACTTCTTTGATACTCCTTTGTTTCTGTCTTTTGTTCTTGACAGGAATTTTGTGTCTTCGCCTTGGTTGGCTTAATGACAGATTTCTTCCTTCAGATGTTCTACTTTGTCCCCGTTTTGTCAGTTGACATTCGTAGAATGGAGGTACGTAAAACTGTTCAAAAAGAAATGTTGAAATTTTGAGGTAAAAACTGTTATTAGCTTATAAATACATCTGTTATGGAGATTATTCCCAGCATTTCTCTTTGATCTCAACTGCTGTACATTTTTTTTGGTTTAGTTATCAGATCTGAGCCGGAACAGCGTCCGACAAGAGCTTGCCGCCTCAGCGAGACTGGAGGCGGAACGACCCCCGACCCCAACACAGGGCCGTCACATGACCCGCTCCAAGTCAGCCCCCAGGTCCCTGAACAAGATGAGTTACGTCTCGACGCACAGCCAGCCGGGCTACAACTACCCAGGCAGTTCCCGACGGTTGGCCACGTTGCCACTGCACACAACTAGGAGTAGGGTCCCGCGCCGGCTCAAGTTCATCTATTTCTGGGCCAGCACCAGACTGATGCAGAGACTAATTATGGTAAGAGTGTCATTGTTTACATCAGGCAAACCTTGCTATGCTTAGAAAATGTAGTTGCAAATCCAGAAGGGAATCTCCAAAAGATCACAGATCACCAGTCAGTTGATTGAAAATGACAGAACAGCATCTAAACTGATTATTTTGCACCTGATAGCTCTAATTTGACTTGACTTTGACTTATTCGACTCTTTCCAGGCTGCATCTATTGTATGGATCATTCTCACCAGTATGTTCATGTACAAGTCTGGCCTCGTCACCCACCTGACCGACACCAGACTAAACCAGTCCACGCCCATGGAACTTCACGAGATACTGACCCTGCAGAATGAACCCTCCAAGTTGCCCCTCGAGGCTCCGCCCCTAGAAAAGGGCACTGTGGACCCCGTGCAGCATGCCGTGGAGGGTGTTCCCTCCGACACGGACTCAAGGAAGAAATCCCGAATGCAGGCCATCGCGGACCAGCTGATGAGCTTGACGGAGGGGAGTAGCAGCTGGGCGTGGCAGCAGGAGAGTGTGAGAAGGGCGGGTCAGCAGGGGGACCTTTGGCGGAAGCTGTCCTTGTGGCACTGGCCAACGTTGTTTGGCTGCTACAACATCAGTCTTCACGGAAAGTGAGTCCCGACAAAATTAATGTTCTGCATTTTCAACCCCCCCACCATGGACATTTGGAGGTACAGGAAGTGAGAGTATGCTACTTTTTAGCACTCTGTATAAAAATACTCGCCAACTCAAATGCTTCGTGAGCTATTGAAGGCCCCAAAAGGTCACAGTAGTTTATTGTTATTGTTACAATCCCTCAGTGGATGTTTTGAGGATTTTGCTTCATCTCCATTCCCATCCCTTCAAGAAGTATCCCGACTTGTCATGGACTGTCTGTTTTGAGCAACAAGTGTTTCTAACTGAAGGGGCCATTTTAGCTTGGCAAACATTTTAGTAAGGGAGAACCTTGTATTTCCAAGCTGTTTTAAACTGGAAGCAATCTGTTACGGCATTTTCAATCCTTCCAAGTCTTTAACCTGCTACCTACCAACCAGCTCTCTGTCTTGTTGGCAAATCCTGTTGAAGAAATCTGACAACATTTTCACAAAATACTGATTTATCGCTATATCAGGTATATCAGCATCCTCCCGCCTTCCTACATGAACATCAACATCAATCCAGAAGATGCCGTGGCACTGCGCCACAAGCAGGAGAGAGAACGTGCCGCCAAGTGGTACAGCAGTCTTGACCCGGACTCCCGCGTGCTGCCCTACGACCCGGACTTCTACACGGAGTGGATCGACGAGCAGGGCGTGGTGCACATGGTCCCCCTCTACCAGGCCTCCCCGCTGGACTACTACATGACCATGACGCTGGGCATCCTGAGCGGGGCGTCGTCCGTCATCCTGGTCATCCTCCTCTTCAAGTGCGCGGTGCTGGTGCGGCTGCGGAGGGCGCGGTACAAGAGGGGCAAGCACGAGGACATCCTGAAGCGGGTGGTCATGAAGAAGTCCTGTGAGTCGGTGCCGTGGGTGCTCATGGGTCACCAGCAGGTAAGACGCCAGTTGCTTGCAGCCGTGTTGTATTCGAGTCCATCAAAAATCTCAGTATTAGGCCATCACAAGTCATTCAGTCTTAAGCCAATTCACAAGCTATTCAAATGAGCTGTGACAAAGGCATTCTTCTGTCATTGTTTACCCTGTTACTTATGACTGGCCTTGTGAAGGGACTTGTGACTGGCCCTGTGTTTGTTCACCCTGTTACTTGTAACGGACCTTGTGAGAGGAATTTATGGACTCGACTATGGCAATGGAGCATTGCTTAAAAGGCTTTCTCTTGGTTGATATATTAAGCAAGCCTCTCCTATAATGCAGTCGTCAGAACTAAAAGAAATTGTTTTCTGGTTGTATTCATGAGTGAGATGAAGTTGATTTTCTCGAGGCCGTTATTATAGATTGGCTTACATGTACATGAAATAAATGTACAAAGTTTCCTTAGCAAAGCCTTGTTCGGCTGTTTGTTGAAGTTGAGTTTTTTATTTTCATTTACGTAAAATTAGTGTTTCTGTTCTTAATTGTCCTAAAAATGTGAGTTAATTCCCTCTGTTAAATTTACAGAGATAGCATTGTACTGCTTAGTCTGAAATGGACTGTAGTCAGGTAAAGTGGTATTCCCTTCGTTAATTTGTGGCAAGATGGAGTGTATTGTGTGCACGGTTGGCACAAAATGGAGATGTTTTCATGTTAGACGCAAGTCAACTTCTTGCCTTGCCTGTGCAGGAGATTGAGTGTTTATCCAGCGAGGGGGCGTGGATAGCCAGCTGTTGTCTGGGGGGTGAAATCCGCATCTGGGATGGTAGTAGCGGAGAGTGTACAATCTGCATTGACAGACACAGGTGAGGAAGAGAGTCAAGATGGCCCTGTGCATGAAACTGACCTCTAATGGATCACATCCCGGTCCAACAAGGGGGCTGTTCAATCAAATTTGGGTATAAACTATTGATCAAAAGAGATCTGAAAATCCTTCAAAACAGTTGCCCTGGAAAGTCACAGAGACGTCCCAGAAAAGTGCAAAATGATAGGGCGCCCAGGAATCCTGCTGTCAGGGGATAAAGTCATGGATGCCAGGATCATGCTAGGCGTATTTTTGATAAGTCACTTTTTTGTCAGAACAGAATAATGATAAATTTACAGGCTATCCTTGTCAGTCAATGGTAATGGTTATTGCAGTCTTCCAGTTCATAATACCAAGCAATGTTTCTCTGCAAAGCGACATTAAATGTCATAGAAATTGTTATATTTTAGTCCTGGAAAATTCATTCAGTCTGGTTTTTTCAGATTTCTGTAGGAATCCTATATTTAATGTGTGTTTATGCTGATGATGGGGTTTTATATCAACAAGAATTGTGATTGATCAAAGATGAATTGATATTTGTTGGCTGATGCAGCTACTTCAAGAGGAGGAGACGTCTTGGCAGTAGCAGCGCTAGGACTCGTCACGGCTCTGGAGGAGGAGAAGCATTTTTGAGATCAGTGACTGACTTCAGCATCAAGGAGAAGTCCAACACCTACCCCCTCAGCCGGAGAAATGGTTACTCCCAGAACCAGGTAGACCTCTCAGGGGCCATCTGCACAGACTTTGGCTCCAGCAGGAGCTCCGTGGAAGTCGGAAGCAGTTGCCAAGATGACCGGTTGTCATCCGGGGTGTACAGTGGGTCCGTGGGGTCCCAAAGCATGGAGCAGGATTTGAGCAGCTGCTCAGGCACGCCAAGGAGCTCTGGGAATGGTTACGACTTCCGGACACTCGTGGATGCCTATCTGATGCAAGAGCAGCATCGCTATGGCAACAGTCTAGTCGAAGATGAAGATGATGAGGGATTGGATGATGTGTATCCAGACTTACCCTCCCCACCCATCATGCATAGGTCTGGTTCCCAGAACATCACAACCATCAATGAATTTAGGGGCAGCTTCAGAGGTCGGACTGCCTCAACGGGGTCTATGGGGCTGAGGTTCGAATCCAGCCAAAGTCCCAGGGAGCCAGTCAGCCGGAGCCCCACCCCATATGCCAGCCGGAATCGGTTCTCCTTTGACGAAGAGTTGTTGAGACAGTGCGGGGCAGGGGGCGATGCCGGGATGACCTCTCCGTTGGACGGTGTTCTGCCTCCACCCATCTGGTGCTTGGTGTGCAGTGATCACATGGTGGTGGTTGGATGTAGCAACGGAAGAATAGAGGTATGACAGTGTTGAAGTCGAGACCAACACAAGACCAGACTCAAGACCAGTCACAAGTATCAGGATGAGCTACGACCAAGAACTGTTTCTGTTGCAATTCACCTGGATAGCTTGTGACATCCTGCTGGCGGTCTTGCGTTGGTGTCGTGATGGGTCTTGCAGGGCCTTAAATACAATGCTGGCTGCTAGCTGTCAGTGTCTTCATCATAACAGACCCCGTTCGTGCTGTGCACCACCGATGCGAGGCTTGGTCTGAGAAAAGTGGGCGTCACTTTTGTGGAATTACTAAGCATATAAGCGTGCTTAAAAATGAAACGTGATGATATACTGCAACGGGTGACCACTGAAAATATTACATTGCTTGTGTTGCTCAAGACCAGTTCTTGAGCTGCTTGTACTTATAGCGGCTATGGCTTGAAATATCACAGGCACCTGTGCTGCCCCTAGCCACAGCCAGTTGATTCAGACAAGGCTTCAGCCAATGTCTACTGAGCAAGGGAATCTACTAAGTAGTATTTTCTGCCAACCAGTTTCAACAATTTTGTTCTTTTTTTTAACTCAGATGTGGGATTCAGGGTCAGGCTTCCTACTGGGCTCCTACGAGGATAACCCCATCGGAGCGACCGGCCTGACCATTACCGGTACCCACCTGGTGGTTGCCAGACTCAACGGCAGTCTAGACTTCTTGGACCTGGTCACCCATCACTCCATTCACCTTAACCAGGCCATGGTCAGTGACTTTCTTGCCAGTGATCACAGGGGTAAGCCTGGGTTGTTTTTTGTGTTTGTGGTTAGGGTCATTGTCTACATGTAATGTTACCGTACTTGATTGTTGAACTTTCCTGCAGAATAATTTTTGTGAACTCTTAAAAATTCCGTTTCATCAGCATTGTGAGGTTGATTTTTTTTGTGTGTGTTTGTTCAATAAATCTTGGAATTTGTTGTTTTATCCTGCATTAAAATTTAAGGACCAATCAAATTTACAGACAAATCTTGGTCAAAACATGGGATATGGATTTCATACTTATTTTCTTCTTCTTGTAGGTAAGATGAGGAGTTTCTCCATCTCAGAGTTTGTGCCACTTGGGGGTGCTATCTTCTGCTCTAAGCAAGCCTCAGTACAGGCGCACCAGCAGCCAATCAATGATGTGCAGGTGGCCAGGGACCAGGTGGTTACCGCCAGTCAGGACCACACGTTGAAGGTGAGATCACTGGTAGCCTGCAAGAGATCACTGGTAGCCTGCAAGAGATCACTGGTAGTCTGAGAGATCACTGGTAGTCTGAGAGATCACTGGTTGTCCGCCCAAGATCAGTGATAGTATGAGAGATATCAGTGGTAGTCTGAGAGGTCACTGGTTATCTGCCCAAGATCAGTGATAGTATGAGAGATACCAGTGGTAGTCTGAGAGATCACTGGTTATCTGCCCAAGATCAGTGATAGTATGAGAGAGATTACTGTATTTTGTTTGTATCTTTGATTGCAGGTGTTCCGATTGGAAGATTCGCTTTGTACCTACACCTTACGAGGCCACACAGGCAGCGTAACCACACTCTATGTAGATAAAGTAAGCCATTGAATGTGATCATTCCTTAATTCAACAAGTGATGGGCCTCAAACTGAACTAAGAGAGGGCGCTATTTCCTCAGCAAGAGAGGCTCCTTTGGTACTAAGTGCCTGTCGCTGGTTCACGAACGACCAGGAAATGAGCGCATCGTTACCAACAAAATGAATACTCCCAACCAATGCGGCTCTTTTCAACTGATGAAGGCGTGCTTCTGCTTGAGGCAGACAGTCTTTCTAAACTTCATCAAATTTCTTTAGGCATAGACACCTTTGAATCATAATGGACAGTGCATGTAATGTATCACAGAAAAGTAAGGACCGTTGGAATTTGGAGAAGTTTTTATTTTTGCTTCTTTTTGTAGAACAACTCTTACCAAATCGCCAGTGGATCCGACGACGGCATGGTGCGGTTGTGGGACACGCTAACCGGCGTCTGTCTGCACTCGCTCTGGGGTCATGTCAGCACGGTTCTGTCAGTCACACTCAGCCGGGATCATGTGATCAGTGTGGGCATGGATAACAGACTCTGCGTCTGGAAGCGTCGGCGGGGACGCATGATACATGTCATACAGCTGGTGAGTGAATGGTAGCTAGAGGGCGCTGTCTAGCAAGCCAATAAATAAATACCACCCGTCTTACTTCATGTGCATACCAATGACAGCCAAGTAGACTGGTACCCATACCCTTCATCAAATACTAATTTTTTGTCACTTCTCAAATATTTCGAATTATACTTTCCAATTTTTTTGTTATATGCAGTGAATCAAAAGCAGTATTTTCTTCTAGAATGTGAAGAGAGCAGCACTGTTATTAGGAAATATACCAAATGAAGGTGGGGAAATGATATTCATCACCAGCGCCATCTGCTTCCTTGCACTTTGGCTTTGTCGGATGACGTAACTTTTTTTTCTTTTTGTGGGCCACCTTGAACATGTTCCTAGTCATCACTTTGAGGTCACAAACACTTTTCTTGTTCAGGCTTGCTAAAATTGTAAGCATGGAAGACCCAGTTCTAGACTCAAGATTCAGATCAAACCCCACATTTCTGTAATGTTTCATTCTTTACGGCAGTCCAGTAGTTTACATTGCAGGTTAATGTATAACCGCTTGGTGCCAGGGTTTCCGGTACTGGACTCTTTGGGTTTATATGCAAAGCTGGGCTGCCGGAAATCGGACAATAGAGCTTGGCCTTGTTACAAAAGACCGTACTCAGAGCAAAAGACCGAGCTGACATTTTTTCAGTTGTCAATAGCGGAGGTAATCTGTCATTGTTTTGAATGATTATACCATTGCTTGTGGCATTCAGCGCGAGCGGATTACCACTGGGGACAAAAACTCTCCATGGATGAGTGATACAATATCGCTGCATGCTAATCTGGTCCGCATTTGAAAAGACGCCAGCAGTGCATTGGGCCAGTTTCAGGAACAAAAGAAAATTACATAACACTGCACAATCTGGTCTTTCTTTACAAGGCAGCAGGCCTGGCTGAAATACTCAGCTGTCAATAGATGTTGTCAGTCAAGATTAAAGTAGCCACCAGACAGTCATTCGTGAGGGTGTAAATGTCCAAAAAATGAAGTTAAGAATTTTTAAAGAATTTTGGAACTGGAAATCTTGAAAATCCCCCTGGTATATGTCATGCAACTTCAAATTAAACCTGCAGTATATGGTTAAGAATACCAATCCTTTAACTATCTTTTTATAACTTGCCACTTAGAAAACTGGAAATTGAAAGTAAGTTTATTGATTCCTTTTACTTTGCTGCAGGACCCAGGGTGTACTGGAACTGTTGCCACTTTGTCCAACAATCACATGGTTACGGGTGGACAGGTAATGACACTCAGACAGATTAAAGCTGTCATGGAAATCAATCACTTAATTTCAGGTTGTTAAATTTCAGGGGGAAAAAAAAAAGAGGACACTCAGTGTCAGTTGATGGAATTCCATGGAGAATTTAACCTGGGAAAACCCTGAAAGCCCAATTCATTTTTGTATTAATTCAGTCGATTTTGGTTCATTTATTTTCCAGGGCTATTTGGCAGTCTGGGACATTTTCCACGGAGAACCAATCAGGGTTGTAGAGCTGGGTGGGGGCGAGCAAGCAGTACGACAGATTGTAGTCACCGATCAGGGTAGAGCCGTTGTCTGCGACTACGGACGGGAACTCCGATTGGTTACTTTCCCATCTGAACTCAAGAAGACAGATTGAGATAGTATCCCATATGAGATATATTTTTAGGTCCCCCTTATAGGGGTAGTATAGACTCTCTCTCACTGAGGAATTGCTACCTTTCTCAAAAATCTGAGTTTGATGCTCTACTGAGCCAGAAAGCTGCCTATCTAATTAAACTAGGGATGAGCTTGGTTTATACTGTCCTATCTTCATATGCTGTTTGCTGCTTTATCTTGCTTGGTTTGGTAAGCCGTGCTGTGCATTTTGAGATCGTTGTTAACCCTAACACTCCTCAGTCCTCCAACAGGTGAAGGATTGAGGAGGGTTAGGGTTAAACCCGTTTGAAGATTCGGGACAAGCCATTGAGGTGTCAGTACTCTGATACAGTTTTTACTTTGTACGTGGATTTATTTTAACGAGACTTTGTATTTTATGTCCAATGTTGTACAAGTTTTCTGTAGTAGGTATATCTCAGCCCTCCGCTCGTTAGATTGACTCCCCAAATTATTTTGCTTTGTTTGTGTGAAGAATCTTGGTGGCGTGGGCAATTCGCTGCAGACCTCCAACTTATTTATCAGCCTGTCCTAGTCATAGGCACTCTGTGTGCATTCAGGATACTCATTAGAATGTGGGCATGATTTACATGTAATGAATTATTCATATCGCAGGTTGATGTCATAAAAGGATCAGCCTGTTGAACTGGCCAGATTAGTCGCTTCTCGGTGCAATCTGCATATAATGAATTATACATGTGATGACATCACAGACTAATTGACTAGTGAATGAATGGAAAACTCTCTTGAAATATTTAAAATAAGCCTTAGATTTATGGTTTGTATAATACTTCAGCGGTTGGGGGTTCTGGGGAAAATATGCCAACAAAGATGAGAAAATTTCGTACATCATGTAAATATTATTGAGCTAAAAAAATTAGTAACTGTTATGTTCTCTTCAATAATTGCAGTCAAGGCTCATATGCCTGACTCCATTGTACCAATTGGTATCTGCAAAATGCCTTTTTAAAATTTCCATTTGCGGTGCTATGAAATCTATGGATTCCATGTACATACCAAAGATCATAATTTAAGTTGGTTGTCAGTGCTTTTTGTTTTAACCTTTGAGTGCATCAGGACATTACTTCTATGTACACTTACATTGCACACGTACCATGTCAAAACTGCATTTTATACCTCGTCTCGGCGATGTATTTTATTTTTTTTAAAACTCTACTTTTGGTTTCTGTTGTATCGAGTATTATAATTTGTGTCAAAGTTCCAATCTGAATTGGTAAATAGCCCTATCCGTACATGTACCCGACGTCAGATTTGGTCTATAAAAGTGCTTTCCTATGGGAGTTCGGTAGGGTTGGCAGATATTAAACTCATTGGGAACCCTGTATGTAAACAAAGCATGACGTCATCGGGACACTGAAATTTGTTTGCATTGTTTTCAGATCGTCATGGTGTCCAATTTCTGTATTTATAACGGTCAAATGAAATCCATGTTCGTATACATGTATACCATGTAAACTGTGTAGAAGAATAAATGTATGTACATGACTTTGCTTTCAAATTTTCTGCTTTATTTTCCATATTTTTCTGTATTACTCTCACTCTAATGCATTTCTTCTTCGACTTTTTCCTCTTGTTTGCTGAATGAGAAATGTCGAGAGAGTTTTATATGAGGTTTGAAGTTTATTACCATTGCAAATACCCAATATCACAAATTCAAAGTCACATTAATGGTTGCTGGCATATAACATCTGCCTCCTAATATGTGGCAGTAGAAACCCTCAGCTTTAAAAAAAAATGTATTTCCCAGAGGTTTCTGTTTTCATTCATTCAACAATTATTTTCACACATTTTTCTCGATATTGGAAGTTGCTCTATTATAATTTGTACAAATTATAGATTTGTGCTATAAAAACTACATGGGTTTCTCACAAAAGGTAAGCTATCTTTCATAGCTTTGTCGAATGTTTAGTTTGAAGTTAGAAAGCATTGTGCGGAGAACAGAACTCGGCTGGTCAGCTGTTTGAAAAACCTGCACTTGACGGGATGTTTTATTCCAAATCTGCAGCACATCAATGTGCTGTGTTCTACAACTATTTGATCAAAAAGTTAAATTTACATTCCTGTTTTCAATACATGAGACCGACACTGACAAATACCCGTGACTAGTAACATGTAAACATGAGAAATCTATGCAAAGACATGTCTCATCAAGTTCCTGGTTGGTCATTTGGTACAGGTACAAAGGCAACACTGCTGATTGGTTAAAATGTCTCAGCATACCAACAGCTGACGTACAGTTTCACAGACTTCTATTTTTTTCCCATCCTATTGATTAGTTTGTTCATATTTTGTGTTAATTTTTGGCAGGTATCCAAATATGATTTCTTTCGTCTGACGAGGTGAGGATCCAGGTTTGCAGTTTCTAACGCAACGTCTGATTGGACAATAGGCCCAGACACAACTTGTGATACTTCATCTGATTGGACAAAAGTGACTTATGTAAGTATGATTGTGCCATTCAAGCTTTGTTCAAGGCTGCAGCATGTGTCAATGTTTACCAGTGAGATGTAACCATCTGGCTTGCAATGTGCAAATGTGCAGTGGCCATGAACAAGAGGGAAAGATTTCACAATGCTTTTCACACAGTGTACTGATTAATGACATACTTTCTTCCATGAACTCTTTCTGCTCAACACTGTGCTGAATAGTGAACTTAAAGAGCCATCAGCCTAAACTTTTTTAGACCATTACCAAATAATTACACACCAATTCTGTTTTACTAGGGAGCATAACTAATCACCAAGTAACCAACTATATTACTGTGCAAAAACAGCACAGCCCGGTGCTGCCTGAATACACCCAGAATGCTGTTCCTCAATACCTGTTTCATCCTGCTTACCAGAGAATGAGCGGCCAAACATTTCTCAGATAAGCTCAAAATGAAACGCTGAAAACGCACGAGCACTTTCCTTGATAGCACGAGTATTCAACCTGCCAACATGACACACAATTGATGTTGTTGGGAAAGATTCTTGGCAAAGTATTGTGCGGTTAGGACATTTACTCAACCAGGTTCTCTGCACAGCGCTTCTGTGGAGCTGTACTTCAGGTTGGACATAATATCAAATCATTACGACAGAATCTCAAATACCCATAACTACATTTCCCACAATAACCAACAAGGACACAGCTCGGACTCTATTGTTGTAAACCATACTTCTCCTTCAACTTGTTGACGTACTCAACATAGAGCTTATCAGCTTCTTCCTTTGCCATTCCTGCGCAAGCAGAAGGGGAAAAAAAGGATAAAGGTGAAGCAGGTGGCTAAAGGGCGATCACGGTGTGATGTAACTCTGCAATGATAGCCCTTGAAAGAGCCTATTAGCAAACACACTGTTGTGTTAATGATTCAAGCCATTTGCTTCGTTGCAACCGGCAACCCTCAAATCTTGTCGCTAATCATTCTCATGTTCTGCAGTATTTTCGTTGTAACATCACGTGAGCAAGCTTTTTTAAGTGAACTTTCCATCTAATCATGTTCTTGAGGAAGGTATCTTTTTAACCACCCACCAAGATGGCCATGAGTTTTCTATTATTAGGGTGCTATGTTTTATTCCGAGCTTCTCGTGGAGTCCCAAATGGTTTTTTTGGGGGGGGGGTGCAGTTTGAGAGGGATTTTTACAAGTGAAGGCAACCCACCTTTAATTCCGTTCCAAGCATCCCACTTGGCCCGTCCTTTTTGGTCCAGAATTCCAGGTCTTGCTGCATGAAATGTAGAAGTTAAAGGTGTGTTTTGAAAAGCAAGAGACCAAATCATGCAACACTTGTAAATATCTTTCTCCTACCGTCAAATGTTCTTTGGATGTTGGCTTGCTGGTAGTCTGACTGTACGACAGTTTCCACTTTTGAACCTCCTCTCAACTATGCTCCTTGGCTGAAAACCCATCGTGAAACAGAATACGTCATCAGCCCCTGTACATCCCCAAGTATTTTCTCTCTCTAGGAACCTTCCCAAGACCTCCGACATCAACAACCTTACAGAAACCTGATAGTGCATTCTTTGTACTTCAACTTAAACACGGCATGTAATACACTGAAGCTTAGCTCTGCATACCTACATCCTATGAATTTTTCCCATACCTCCTTGTGGATTTTGATGGAACTACTGAGGTCAGTTTTCCACCCTTTGTAGGTATCAAGCAAATCTCACCTGTATTGCAGTCACCTATAATGACTTGCTTATAGTATTTGTATGTATCAAGCAATTCCTGGTTGTCTGGTACTTTATTCAGCCGCTTGATTTCCTCAGCGGCCACTTCAAAGGCGTCCTGGGGGAAATGGAACCACGACGAAGAAGTTGTGTCACGACTGAGATGAAAGCAAGACTCAAACCAACATTTTGTCTCCTCTTCAGTGTCTGACTCGAAGGTAAGACTTAGAGTGTAGCTGCTCGCTTCAACTCTCAGAGCAACACCCTTGTGACTTAAGCTAACAAAAGGAGCCTCCAAGGTTACGGAAGGCACTTTGGACTTGAAGGACTTCAAGATGTGAAAAAGTGGGAACTCTCAGTATTTTCCACCCATGCAATGTCCATTTTCACCGGGCAACCTGGACGATTTGATGTGTCTTAACTTTTGTTTTGCACTCTTCCAACGTCTGCCTTCCAATGTTTAACCTTTTTTCCTGTTTTACATAATGCTGATTTGTTATGGAATGTGCAGACATATTGTCATTTGCAAAAGTTTAGGACCATCATAGAAAATGCATTGAAGGAAAATCAAACTTAAACCAATCAATCATGGCAACTTATGTTTATTTTCAATGTGTAACCTTGGTACCTCGGTTGAACATTTTTGACTACATTTCCATGATTTGACATGTCTAATACTCAGTGTGCCCTCCCTTATTTCCGATTGCTTCGACTGGCTTTTTTACCCATGCTGCCTCGCAGACAAAATGTCATACAAGACCTGCCTTTGCAACAAATTTCATTCAAATAGGTATATAGCACTACACTGATGTTATGCACCACTGTAAAATCATGTTAAGTAATCATTCGGCATGTTCAGTGAGACAGTGTAATGCAGGCCCAGTGACAGAAGTACCAATAAAATTCAAGGTGGTCTTAAACTTTGGCAAATGACTGTAGTCAAAAAAAAAATTTGCACTTCATCTTTTGACTAAGCATGCTGAGCAGTGAATCCTACTGTTTGCTATCCCCTCCCCTTACTGTTTGTGCATGATCTTACCTCCCTCCCTACTAGAATCACTGAGACACAATGCAAACAGAACCTTAGGCTTCAGGCTTTGCCCAATGTTGACAAATTTGCTAGACATTTAACTAAGCAAGCAAAATCATGCAATCAGTTTTAGCAAGCATGTTTGACAAAGTTTGCCAATGTTTATCTAGCAGTGTATGGACAGCCATGGTACAACCCTCTCAACATGATAAAAAATTTAAATATAGACTGGTATTTTGTGAGATTATAAAATTCATGATAATTAAAGTTGAACAAAACAGGAATGGCTCAGGGCAAGTGATTAAGTAAAATATATAGTAGTTGGGTGCTGAAATCTTGCATGTAGAGTCTTGGAAAATGACAAGTGTTCCGTATCTGACCCCCATGTACTCGCAACCAAGTTTAAATTGCATGTAGGCAGTAGGCCTACTACTGACCTAAAACAAGTCCATTCAGCTTAGGAAAAGCTGAAATTGTCTGATTCTGAGGAAAAGTTGTTCTAAAGACTTGGTGTTTTATGAAACTTGAGAATCACGGTGTCCAGATGATCCCAGAACTGGGGTTGGGAAGAGTGCCATATACGGACGCCAGTAATGATTATTCTCTACAGTGACCTGCTAGCCATCAGAAAGCAAACCACATCCAGAAAAGTTCAATTTAAGAGGGAAAAACTTACTCAGAAAACATTTCAAATTTTTTAGAGAAGTTCCATAGGGTTTGTGCACAGGATGTCAAGTGGCATCCATATATGGAACTCTTTTCCTGGGGTTTGACGTCCTCCATCTGGCCATGCTCGACATCGAACCCCCATACTCGGGGTAGGTCATACATTAGCTATGCTAGAAGACAATACGGAATGGGTTCCATATACCCACAACACTTGAGGCCCTGTGCACAAACCTATGAGACTTGTCTGAAAAACACCTAGGCCCTAGTAAGAACTTTCTCAGCAAAATTTCACTTTTTATGACATGTTATCACTTTCTGATGGCTGATAAGCAGTGATACTAGGGCCTATAACATGTACATTATATAACATGTATAACATGATTTTCATAAGGGAAAAATTAGTGTTGTGCGTATATGAAACTCTTTCCGATAATACTGGGCCTAAAGTAGGGACTGAACAGTAGACTGATAGGCCTACTGTTTGTTAATTTCCAGGGACCCTTATGTACGAAATACAGCGACCAGAGCAGTAGGGGCTAACGTTTACGAGCAGACGAAGCCACTCAACGAGGTTACAGCGTGCTTTTGTTACGAATGCGACAGACAAGGGGTATCATGTACCATGCACATGGCCTAGGCTAGGCCGTGCCGTTTAAATACATCAAGAATTCACGAAGAACATCAATGTATATTAGAAATGTAAACTTACAGATCCTATTCTCCTATCAGCCATATCGTTGAACGAAGTTTCTGCCTTTCCTTAAAAAAGCGAACGATGTGACCCTTGCACGAGGTGTGGTCACTGCTTCTCTATCGTGTACCGTGAACGGTGCATTATGTGCTGATGGGTGAAAGAAAATCACTAAACAGCGCCACCAATTGAAATTTGTTCAATAATGCCTCTCTCGCGCCGGCTGCCTGAGCGCGCTAAATCAGTCAAGTGGTCTGTTTGTTTTTCACGAGTTTTCAAGCCGGCAGATGGACATTTTTACCGATGGATTTTAAAGACCAAGCTACGTCAGTGTCCTATTCTATTCATTTTGACCGAAGCCAATCGAATTAATTTTATTTTGAATAATTTAAGTGGACTACGGTCCGTGCTGCAATTTCAATTTCTTGAGATTCAACAAATTGATGAAAGGCAGTAATGCTACATACCGTTTTATTTGCAAAGGCATGTCGGTCTCGGCCTGTTTGTATCGTGGTCAACATCAATATGGAGATGTGTATATCATTTGGGGTGTAATCGTTCGATCAGTACGATCGCGTGATCGTGCTGCGCTGTAATTCGATCCCGTGTGAAATCTCTAATTTGACTTGGGCCCTTTATTTAATCAATCCTCTGTCTACAATCGTAAATTATAAAGAAATGTCAGTCATCTGCAGATGAAGTTATGGACAGATCTTACAACAAGATTGGATGATATACCCATCCAATTTTTCCAAACTGCATTTGAGTTCTCACTATTTCTAATGGTCCGTAGAGCACTTCAGGAGGAAGCTCTGAATCAACCTAATAAAAACCAACTTACAAGGAAACATAATAAAACATAATTTCATTATCATGCAAAAATTGTCAGCATGTGTCACAATGTCGATGTCCGCTGCCAATGAGCATGAAAAGAAGTAACTTTCCAAAAGATGTGGTACATGGGACCTCAGCGCATTGATTTGGGTCAAACACACACCGTTGCACCAGTGTGTCGCAGCGACACCTTCCTATATAGTCTGACTTGCAGCTATTTTCCCAAGGCCAGCCACAGGTTGATCCAAGTTATATTAATTTCACAAACAATGAAGAGAAAGGGAAAGCCATTAAACAGGTCATCTGGTGAAATGCTTTTCGTGGTGGTGGTCGACCCTACTGTCGTTCATGCCACCGTCTATCGATGACGACAAGGTCTACATTGCTTAGATGCCAACGCACAACAGTCAATTTTTCACCATATCCCATCATCCTCGGGATCTGCTTTCTTGAGCATTTTGTCGTCGTTGGATGACGTCATGGAATGTGTCCTAGCTTGTGTCATCATCCTTTGGTTTGAGAGGCACTCTTTTGCATACCAGCGGAGATCGGACGAGGTCCTTGTTACACCTGTTTCACCATCGCTGGCGACGACATCCAAGGATTTTCCTCGATGCATCACAGACGTATCGACAGAATCTCCGGATACCGCCGTATGCTTGGCTGGAAGGTTTTCGCTAACAGCTGCGTGGACGTCAGTCAACTGCACTGGTTGCCCGATGTCGTTTGCTGTCTCACGCTTACCAGTCACAGTCTTGTTCGGCTCACTGACACTGCGCTCCACCGAAATATCGAACAAGGTGATCTCATCGCGCGGGGACGTTTTTGGCGTCTCCTTGGAAGGAGTGTCTTGGTAGGATGACAGGCGGCTCTTTAGGTAACCGAGAAGACCCAAGGACGTCTTGTCTTGGCTGGCTTGGCTTTTTGGTGGCGTGGTGCCGGATTTGTTAGGAAATTCCTCCGTGAGAACAAGCGGTGTGACTGACACTATACCACGATCGTCGGCCGCAACCTCAGTCTGAATTTTGTCTGGACTAGTAACTTTTGATGCCGCTGAAGCGTCGATTGTCTGTGAAGCAATAGGAAGTAATGCCATCATTGTGTGATTCAAAAACCAGAATAGAGGCGCTTTTCCATATGCACGTCGACACTTCCGGACGCAATGCACACATATGTTATGTTGGCGTCGATTTTTGTGTCTGTGAAAAGTGAAACGCATGAACGCATCCTTCGAACGCACCCAAAAAAGTATGGAAAGTGCCTTTAGAAGACATTACTGTGGACGTGGCACAGCGCTCTTTGACGGGTGGTATGCGCGCGTTACATGCCTCTTCAACCAATAGGGTCTCGTGATTTGCCAAATGCACGCGCGCGTCAAGCTAAAGAATGCATGTGTGAGATTGCGCTGCCGCGCCACCGCAGTTATGGCGTCTAATCGGATTGGTCTCAGTTTATATTGGTAGACTGAGTGCTATGAACGTTACAATGCCAACAGATACTAAATCTGTCAAAAAGCCACCAGGAATACCTGGCCTCTGGTAAAGAACTGCTGTTAGTCATTCTTGTTTAAAACCGTCAGGAGATCATGTCAAATGCACGTTTTAACATCAGGATCTATAGAACTAAATATATCGAGGCCTTCGAGTCAACAACAGAAAACGTGGACCAACTAACGAAACGCCTACTTGTTTTGCCAGGCAGTGCATCTTAACAAAGTCACTCTTGGCCGGCGAGGTCTTGCGGCTTTGGCGCTCAATGTGCAGTTTCCTCAAGGCGAGTTTCTCGGAAACTGTAGACAGCCAGCTTTCAGGGAGAGGTGACAGAAAAATTGAAAGTTGGTGTTGACATAAGTCATTTTTATACGGCCATTAAAAAACGAAGCCAGTATTCTGTCAATGTGCAATATTTTTCTTATGTTGCAAACAGCATTACTTCAGAAATCACGGACAGAAGATTGTTCTTCAAATTTAATAACGGATAAGTGTCCAGACTTTTTTAAAGGACAACACGACAATTTAATCTTAAGCTTTGTTCTCTGCCTCATTTTGTGTTCATTCAGCTTAAAATAATTGACATTTATACCTGCATTCACAGAATCGTGACCCGTCGCGACATGCTCCCGAAAACTGAAAAGAAAATGGAAATATGGGGAAAAATCACAATGTGTCTTCATCATAGAAAAATCATAATTTTTTCCTGTACGTTTCATTAAGAAAGCAATGGTCAGGCTGCTAAAAGTTCTGTAAGGTTGCGAAATTATAACAAAAGCCCACATAAATAATGTTATATTACATCTACTGAAAAAAAATCTGTAAAAATCGCTCGAAATGCATTTTCTCACCATTGCAATCGCAGCTGCAGCGATACACACAAAGACAAAAATCCCAATCCCAGCGAAGAAAGGGATTTGAATTTCTGGCCATTTGAATGCACTTTGCTGTGGCAAACTTGTTCCCAAGACGAGAATTGGTGATTTAGTGGGTTTATATCTACTCGTCGATTTTGACGTCGGTCTGGTTGTCGGTGCGGCCTTGCTTGTCTCAGGCGCGGACGGTTTGGCTTCAACGAGCCGGTTCTTCCCCCGTTGGGCTTCGGTAATCTGACTGACGATACGGGCTGGATCGAAAAGCCCCGATGTGCCGAGTGCCTTAAGGGAAATCTCGGAGGAGCTGAAGAAGCCGCCCGTCGGGAAGACAAGTCGGAAGATGTCCTTGATCAGGGTTGTCGCATCAGCAATGAACTTTGCTATTTTGGGGTCAAGTGGGAGTTGGTGGTGTCCGTGTGTCATCGTGACGTTGATAAAATGGGTGGCGTTGTATTTGTCGGAATTCATCTCCTGTACACCGTTGCTTTCTTTCGTGATTTCACTTGTTGTTGCTCTAAATCAAGAAGGGTAGTTGATGGAAAGAAACACATTTGTTCAATTCTTGCAAAATCTAAGAATTCCTCTTAGGTTAAAAAAGGATCTCTCTTGTAAGTACTCATAATCTGTACGAACCGTGCAGTAGTTGTGGATTCATGTTTCATCATCCTCTTCAAGAAACCCCTCATTCTCTCCTGGAACGTCACTGTGAACATCCTCCTCAGATCCCTGTCCTCTACCTCCCCGATGCGCCGTCTCATCTCCCCGTCGTGCGCGCTCAAGACCCGCTCCCCCTCCGGGCTCCACAGCGGGAATGAGTTCCCGTCAGCGTCGACGATGTTACCGTGGCCGTCCGTCTCCGGCGGGATCAAGTCCTCCATAATGAGGTTATACGCTACTTGGGCGATGGAGGTGGCAACGTCGAAATCTTCGTCTGGGATGTCGCTAGGCTCTAGTTCATTATCTGATAAGAGATTCAATATCTTCTCCTTTAAACTTCAACTCATTGTTTTTGTGGACCTTTATCTGGTAGATTTTTCTCTCTTTTTTAAACCTTACGCTATTGCCTTCTCTGTAGTAACTTACGATTGACCATGCAAAGAAATAAGCCTGTAGAAATATCAATACAAAAATTGACTTCCCGGGGAAAAAGGAGACATTTACAAACAAAACAAACGAAACAAAGTGTCGTATACTTACCGCAAATTATGACGTCTTCGGTGCAAGCTTTCAGTGCATCACTGGTGTCCATCATTTCGATATCACGTGACTGCAAGTTGCTCCAGACTTCCAGCCATTCACAAGTGCAGTTTATAAAATTACGACCCAGGTATCTACGCAAATTAACATTCGTTAAAAGACTTAGTGTCCTTGTTGTTCCCTTGTTCAAACACGTTTGTGATTAAAACAAAAGTTGACAGATTTTACTTACATCTTCTCCAGCTGTTGCAAGGTTGCGAACACTTCAGTGTGGATAGCCCTCAAAGAATTGTGGTTCAGGTACCTGCGACCAAGAAACGTGAATGTTAGTCAGCGAGAAATACAGTTGTACGGTCTATCTTTATGATCTTTTGACATTCATATACCCGGTACGTAGCAGTCGCTGGCACATACTGATGTAGCTTCGGGTGCCTCAAGTTCACTGCAGCATGGCACTTGAAACCAAAGATCGTATAGCGCCGCCTAGCTGCGCAAGATGGAGAAATAATTATACGCAGCGCTATATGATCTTTGCTTGAAACTGTCACAGCTCTATAGAGTACCGAAGTGAATACGTCACGCGCACAATTAGTGTGTAAAATGCATTAGCGTGAGAACCAGCGCGTGAACCAACACGCGCGCGTACTCCATTCGATTGCACTGCACTTTCTGGTTCACAGTGACGTCACACTTCGGTACTACCATGGTTGTTTTCTGGAGCAAAGTAATTTGGTAATTATAAAAACATCTGTTGCCACTTACAATTCCTGTAAAGATTCCAGACCCAAAAAAGTTGGTCCGTGCAGGTCGTAGAGTTGATTGAAAGAAAGATCCCTGTTAGAAATAAAATTAAATAGGCTGCTTTATCGCACCAGGTTTATCAACAAGCAGGGTAAAAATATATCAATGATTTCAAGTCCTTTATGTTTTGCTGACTTCTACACAGTGGGAAGAAGCCTAAGGAATGAAATTGTTAAGTAGATCTGATGTTCCAAAAGAGGTCATTTTACTTGGTGAGCAGCGTTCACTCTGCTTCGTTAGTCTGGCTTTGAAGAGGCATAATACTTACAAACTGAGGAGTGTTATCAAACCGTCTCTCGTCTTGAAGGAGTCGTCTTCGATAAAAGCTATCTCGTTGTGAGAGAGATCACTGGACATAGAAATAATGAAAAGTAAAAAAAATTAAACCATTTTATTATTATGAACAGTTGAGGTTCTTGAAGAAGTCTTTAACAAAGTCAGAGCGCTTAAAAAGCTTTGGAAATCAGTAACGCGTACATAGATTTCTAGATAGGTGAATAAGATTTAATTTAAAATTATGGGTGCATGCGGGAGTTGTTTATGAGCTATTTAATATCACCCAAATATTTTTTTACATTCAAATGTTCACTCTTCCCTTCGTTCACAACTTACATTTTGCGAACCTTTGTTAATCCTTCGAACGCAAATCGATCAATGTACCTGATGACATTGTAGGATAGCTGACTGTAAAAATGGAGAAAACTGAAGGTGAAATTATCATCAGCTGGCTTTTGAACGCAAGAAATTTGTATCTGAGAATTTACATTAATTATTAAAAGTGCTCTAATGAGAAAGAAAGAGAAATTTCGATCATTCTAATGAAACATTTGAAAGCACTAAAGCAGTTGTACCATAACCCAATACAACTCACAGTGTCATCAAGTCTTCCAGTCCGCTAAAGCCATTTCGTAATAGCGCCCTCAGTCGGTTATGCCGCAAATCTCTGCAAAAAAGCAGTGAATTAAAAGCCTTGAACGAAAAATCAAACTATAATGAACAGCTAGGAAATGGCGCTATATTCTCGACAGCTATGAGTCCCGGTGCCCCCCTTAAAAAAAGGATGAATTCAAGGACAATACCACAGAAATTGTACAAAAACTAGACGATTCAGCTCTCCTTAATTTATTTTTACTCACAATCTGATAACTCTCGGTAGGCCGAGGAAATCGCCAGGTTCGATCTGCTGCAATCTATTTCTTGACAAGTTCCTGCAAACAAAAAGCTCGCTAATAGTAACTGCATGTTACAGGGGATTGGAGAGGGAAATAACTAATAGCCAATTCTGATAAGACTGGAAAGGGTGTTTCCTTTCTCAGAATTTAGTGTCTGATTTCCTTTTGGTAAGTTGTTGCTTGTGGCCTTTTTTTCTCTCCTTTCTTTTTATTTTGTGTTTTCCTTCCAATGAAAATGAGAACTGTGCCTGAAAGATCAGCGACCAATTATCACCAAAACAGACAGGCCTACTCACGCATATTTGATGTGAAACAGGTTGTAGCGTAGTAAATCTGGCGGCACTTTGAGTAGTTTGATTCCGCCGTTTACATTCGGTGTGCACTTCAACGTGTTGCCATGACAACGACACGAATCGGGACACGTATCCGTTGAAAGCGACGTCAGGAACGAGAGGGATACTACACACCAGAGAAATATCCCTGAATTCGGGTTTGAAATGAAACCTGGAAAAAAAATGTCAAAGGAATGTTGTCTGCCTCCACGGTAGAACTGGGTAGCCTAGACCCATTTCAAATAACAAGGATAGGCCTATGACAATCATAAACGTTTGGAGTTGTAGGCTAGGTTGTAGTCTACATTGCTTGCATGATGCATCGCCCATTGGTCAGTTTGACTAGTTGCAATCAAGCCTTTTTGTCTCTATTTATCTGGTTCAACTGTGAAGTGCAAAACTGTCAAAATCGATTGATTCAATTTGAGGACGTTTGAACGAAAACTCACCGGCCATTCTCTGCAAATTGTATAGAATAGGCCTACTGCAGATGTCAAACCCTGCAAACGAGTAGCACCATTCAACTTACACTGTGCTGGCTTTTGCTTTTAAACTTTGAAAAAAGTCGTTTGCGATCTTGCGCGTTTTGCGTCTTGGGCTTTGAAAATACGCGCGCGCCGATAAAGGCGCAAATACAGCGCCACCAATTGACAAGCAGTGTTCCCCATTTTATCGAGCGCTTCATGGACAGCACACGATATACCCCAAAGCCTTTTTTGTAACATTCTATATCTACAGGGGATATTCTTGTGAAACGTGAGTAAGGTGCCTATAAAGACGAACTTTGTTCGAATACAAGGCGGCAAGAACCAATTTAAAAAATATCCGTTGGTGTTTATTGTAAACTCAGAGAACTCGACCCCGGCCGGTTTGGTACGGTCCAATCAATGATGGTCCAACTACCAAGTTCAGTTAAATCGTACCAACTTGCACACAAGTCAGACGTGCCTGGAAATGAAAAAAAAAATCTGGGAAGAATTTACATTCATGGAGGGATCCATGATTTTCTTGGGGGGGTGTTCGGGAATTTTTTTTGTACCAGTCCTTAACTGTACATGCAGGGGATTTTCCGAAACCTTTAGACGTGCGCCCCTAAAAAATGGCGACCGGCAGGTTCTTTTTATTGGACCCTCGCAACCCGCAGGATCTGTACCTGACATTTTGTGAGAGTAAACAATTGACAGCTTTGTGTGTCTCTGTAGTTGTCTAGAATTAAACTTAACTGATCGAAATGATTCTAGTCTAGTCCTGTGCTATTTATCCACTGTATAAACCCCCTACCATTCTTGGCCCAAAGTTTGGTGAGCACATTACGCAAGCATATTCTCGCTGACTCGCTCCAAACTATTATGTTTTGACCATCACCCTCCTGACCAGTCTGTCGAGGACATGACCCGCCACCTCAGAGTATGTCCCCTGACACCAATTAGAGCCCGCCTGAGTTCTCCTCAAATTGAGGGGGAGGGGCCTCAAGGCCGATGACATAATAACCGGCAATAAACCATCTCAGCAGACTCTATTCAATTTGGACTCTTTGTTACAGAACCGCTAGGTATGACCAACCACGGACCAACCAAGAAAAGAAAACTGTCACACTTTGGTCTCGCTATTGTGAAGGGATAAAAGAAGATTGCACACATGGTTTATTTAGTGAAATGCGGCGTTCAGTATTGGGGATGCGATTTTGAAGACAGAAGCAAATTCCAAGCATTGCTCAAGGTTTTTGTAATGTTGCTTTTAAGTTCTTGAACATTGCTTGGACTGAATTTTTCAACTGAAGATGACCCCTGAAATGGTAGGGTTCCTAACGGGCAGAGGGAGGCCTGCTAAGAAAATAACATACTGGGCAATTACTGCCCCCCAAGAGATTAGTCAATCGATGCTAATGATTGGGCCACTTTTCAACGACGGGTGATTACCGCCCCATTATTCTGCAATTGGCTGTTCGGTTAGTCCTACGCTCTCCCTTTGGAGTGGCTCTCCAGCTGCGCGGAGCCGGGTACAGCGATTGCCAGAAAATTGCTCGGAAATTGCGCTCCCCGTGTACACAAGTCTAGTTCCACAAATTGGTATTGACGTTCGAGTTAACCTTGCACGCCACACTGTCTTTTGGGGACCACAGAACCATTTCCGGGGGTTGTTTCCCTTGACGAGGCGGTCAATGGTAATCGTCTTCAGAGGGGCGGACGTTGGAAAAACTATCGGCAAGTCCCTAGAGGTCAGTCAGTGCACTGTTTTGGGGAGATAGTTTGGGCGTAACTTGGGCGCTTCCATAAGCAGTCACCGACAGGCGATAAGCTTCATATCACCCATTCGCCTGTACGGGAGAGCGCAAGACGGTGCGTGGGAAAAGCTAGCAAAGTAATCCAATTGTGCTCGGTAGGGCGCCCAAGAGTTCTTCATTGACTGAGTACGTACGTGTGTATGCTTGTGTTGAGCAGACGTAAGACGCACAAAACCGCGACGACCAATAAAACCTGCAAAAAGTACACGGAGTTTTCAATTAGGCCTACCGTGCGGGGCCGTTGGACGGCGTTTACAGCAAACTCATGTGGAAATCTGTTACTATGAGATAGAAATATGAAGTCCATTGCACCACTTGTGTTGACATGGATGTTTCTCGTCGCTGTGGTATTTGCTCAAGGTAAGACCAGAGGAAATGGACGGTTTGGAACAGAAATCTCGCTGCAAATGTTCGCCATGTTTTGTGTTGTACTTCTGTCGTCTGCATAAAAAAAATCTCATTGATGTGCGTTGCTTCTAACTTGTCGTCTGCATAAAAAAAAATCTCATGGATGTGCGTTGCTTCTAACTTGAAGTCCACGTGGTGCAGTGCAGGTGTTACGCCGGCGCCAGTTTTTAAAAGAAATTGCAAGAGCGGCATTTAGTTGGCAAAGTAACGTTCAGATTCAAACAATTTCAGCAATTATTTGTTTTGAGTAATCATAGGCCTAGGCCTATTAAAACCTAACACTGGGGCTTATTTTGGTAGCCTACTTTTTCTAGCCCAAGCACTTTCCCTAGTAAAAACAATTTCAAAATGTTTCTGACAGTGGAACACAAAATAATGGTCACATAAAAAAATACCAAGAAGCATTAACAGTGGGCAAAGTGTTCCTTACATGGACAACACTTGATGTCCCTGTGCACACCTAGCTATGAGACTTGTCTAAAAAAAAACCTGATTGTTTTCTAAGTAAAAGTTTCAAAATTTTCTCAGCTACATTTCACTTTTTAGGATATATGTTATCACCTTGGGATGGCTGTTGTAACATTTTAAAGGAAAATGAATGTTGCACGTATATGGAACTCTTTCCTAAAAGGGCAGTAAACCTGTAGAGATCACTTGAACATGTTGAATTCACGTCATTTCTATTTGGACAAAATCCACCCTGCAAAAGCCCGCTGCTTTGGTTGTACGTTCAAGTAAAGTATACTTTCAAATAAAATCTGGCTCATATGGTATGAAATTATTCTCTTAAAAAAGGAACTGTTTATTAAAAAGAGCACTTTTTTCTGCTAATTTTTAGATCCAGGATGTTGCCACAGAGTACGGACCCACCCAGCTTGTCAAGAGTCATGTGATCAGGTAAGACTCCTCATCGATAGACCATAGACCTCTGACAAGTGTCACTGATTCTGTGATAACATCTGTTGAAGTACATGTACACTGTAGGCCTGCGCAAAAATGTGTTTCAGTAATTTACATACATCTGCTCAGTTAATTTTGTTACGAAATGTAACGTGGATGGAAAAGCTTTTACTTAGAATGGCATTGTTCACCACATTTGTATGAGGAAGTACCTGTGCCTGTACATCAGGTTTATCACTTGCAGTACAGTGCTAGCTTTAGACTGACTGGAGTTTCTCTGGTCCAGTTTGCTTTTCATTAATCGTCCTGCTGTTTAGGTCAGTTGGTATTAATGGAGATAATTTGCCTTGGCGATGGGTTCTGTCATTGCCCCTCAAAAAAAAACAATACAGTTTGAAATTGTCTTTGCTTTGCATTAATAACAAGGGAGCAGGGTAGCATAGCAGTTCTTTCCTCACTTTGTACTAATCAGGCTCGGGTTCAAGTCCTGGCTTGGCCCAGGTGCATTTGTTGTCCAGTCCATACTCACTCTCGCAGGTTTTCTCCGGGAACTCCGGCTTCCTCCTGTCTCCAAAACTGGACCTTCTTCCTAACTTAATAGGTTGACCCCGTTGGAAATAAGTTGCAAAAATTGCACGGGCTATCCCTGGTATTACCTACTTGTGAGGTAATACCAAATTAATCCAATCCAATCCAACAGTCACTCCATCCAGTCTGTTGTGTAGTTCATCAGCATGGATGTATAACATAAACAACTGAAAAATCATGTCATTTACTCTGCCAACAAATTAATTGTCTTCTTGAGATGACAGAGCTAGCACCAGTACTTCCTCACAATTTACCACTGTTGTTGTTGGCCCATATTTCAAGTGCGGTGCTCGTTCAAGCCACACAGACCAGAAGCCCCCCTCCAGGTCCGATATTGGTAATCATAACAAAACTTGCTGGCACAGGCATTTACCCTCTTTTGTTTGGGGTTTAGATGTGTGCAGCGCATACATGAATAAATCCAAACAACGCACATATGGCGTGGTGTTAATAATACTGGCCACCACCATGTGCCATGAAATAATAATCACGGCCATTATGTTTTTATGCAGTGCCATAGGACTGTGCCTTAGCTGGTCCATGCAGGTTCTGCTGTATATTGTAGGCTGCTATAAATAAATGTAGTTTAATGGAATGGTGGAACATTTGATAAACACAGCATGTTGCTTGCTGGCCGTGGTTGTAATCTTGTGACTGTTGTTTCCTTACGTATCATCCATGATTGCTTTTGTCATCCTGTTACAATGAAAGTGTAGTTTTTTTGCTAATTTGTAAACAGATATGCAGTTGCATGCTGAAGTGCAAAGTCTCCATTTATGCACCATGACATTGTTACTGGTAGCTTAATGTTGTTGATTGCTGGTTGGTTGCAGTAAGGGAATAACTTAAATTCTATTTAGTTTTCCCGAAGTTCTCCCCATTATTGCTTCCTGAAGCCAACTCAACCCCATTGGTTGAGGTCATTTGACAAGAAAAAGGGGCCATACTAAAGTTTGCTACATGTACAAAAGCCCATAATGCATGTAATGGGACTAATGGGTACTGTATGTGGATATGCCCCAGGGTTTAAAACTGAGGACACATTCAGAGCTGACCATAGAATTTTTGTGACCTGGCCCAGTTTCAGACCTTTACAAATCGAGCCTTTGCACTTTTTTGTTCCTTTCTTGGTGTAGTTTCCTTGGGGTACATGTGTAATTCTAGGGAATTATGTAGATTGTAAAATCTTGGCCCAGTGTTTCCTTTTCCCTGGGCAAAAAAAGTTTGGATGTGGTGTACACACAGTAGACACGTTTCACAATTCAGCCTGGCTTGCTTGCATGATTTAGTTTATGAAATAATTATACAGTGGCATATACATGTAGTTTATGCACGGACAAGAAAGAATGATGATTTGTATTATTTGCTGTCTTGAGTTACGGCCACAAAAATGCCCACTTGATCAATATTTCATTCTAAGATTTGATGGGACTTGTCACATTTGCATGATAAAACTCTTACTTGAGCACTAAGGAAAGTACTGTATATACTGAATTGTGAAATGATGAACATTTCTTAAACATTTTTAAGTCAAGTGTTGATAAATCCTTCAAAAAACCTTTGTTGCATGATTGTACGAAGCATTTTTATTAAAAATGTATAAGCACCAATTCCAAAATCCAAAAATATGAAGTATTGCTGATGACTGGTAGTTCATTGCGTACAGATCATTCAACCACTTTTCCAATATTTGCACTTTACTCCAGTCTTTATTTTAAGTGCATTTTATGTATTGTTCAATTTATTAACCTATTTTCCCTGGGACTCTCTGGTGACCTGTGCTCAAATCACAGCTTAAGTCTGCAAATTTCTTCCTTCAAGATTCCGTGTCATCTGATCTGATTTCTTGTGCTCGGTGGTCGATGCGACCACATATGCGATTGAAACAGTACCCTTGAAGTTGTAAGGGATACACCGGCGGAGGCAAGATCAAACATGCACAATATAAAAGGTCTCTTTCTTTCGGCTTGGGGCCCCTGATATGATGTTCTCTCAATTTTACCCTTTTAAAGCTCAGGAAGTGTTTGCTCCCTTTGCTCCACATGTTTTGAATTAGTGTTCTGACAATATTTCTGTGATAATTACAGTAGGGTATTTACACTGGGGAATTAGACGAGGTGGAAAAAAAATGGAAGTATAGTTGCTTGAAGTACTCTTTTAGGTCACAAGTATTCGGTGATTTTTTCTTGAACCATACCTGTAAGTGACCTGAATGGATGTTACCACTGTCTTACAAATTTATCTCTTCTTCAGCTTGTCATATCATCCTCCTTACAGTATACATTTACAGACATCAATTTCTTTTGAATAAATTCTGAGTCTTGAACATGCCACAGTGCACTTCAAGCAGATGCTTTGACCAGGGAAAACTTGCACAAATCGTAACAAATTTTGTAAGAAACTTCCTGTATTACTGATGAAAATGTGTTTATTTCCACACATTTATGAAACAAAAAGAGAGTTACCTGTGTGCATGAGGCAGAGTTTGGCCTTAACATAAGCTGAATGTCCTCATTGAAAACCTTATGGTGTCCATTCCAGGCAAGAAATCAAACTACTAAACAACTATAATCAGACAATCATCAAACCATGACTTGTGTATATGGCACCTCTTTACTGCATGATGCAATCTTTGTATACACTTTACCTGTAAATGATCTGAATTGCACAAAGTACAGCACAAGAAATACTATACCATCTGTGCGAACCAAACATCTCAAACCTACCATATCATATCAACCTACCAGCATTGTAGGGCCTTTGCAGTCACTCCTGTGACTTTATACTATCCTGTGTTATCACAAAATTGATGCCCAGCTACTGTAAATGGACAGTGGATTATTGATATAGTGATCGGTTTATAGACTGTACCACAGTTATGTGGTGATAAGAGATTTGACAGGGCAGATAAATTCAATATTCAATTACATTGTATCCATGCAAAAATGAATGTGATTCACAAATTTTTACTGCAACGCTAATGATGTATAGGATGGATTGATAAATACAATTTTAAAGTTAATGTATTACATTTTTACACAACTTAGAATCATCCTTCTGGCTTCTTTATGTGCATGGAATTTATGCTCTTGGTTAAGCATGGGACCAGCATGAAGTTATGGTGTTTGATTTCATGCAGATCATTAAGATTTAAAATGTGTATATTGTTTAGGAGGATGTTTCACAGGGATTAGATTTTTGGAGAGAAAATCCCACCTTTTTAAACTGCAGTTAAACAAGGTTTGGGAAGCCTTTTTATTGAAAGCCATATTTTTGAAATTATAAACACTAAACAGTTTCATTGCATGCAGTTTTTTAAATACAGAAACTGAAAGTGTGAATGCCCTCAGAACTGAAAAAAATGTGATTCTAATTTAATGAATGCTTACTCCTTCAGAGCTGAGAGGAACATGATGTAATGGCTGGTGAAATGAAAATCCAGGGTATAAAAATGACTCAAGTAGGTATTCACTTCACATTATTGGCACCATAAAACATGAAGGTTAATGCTGAGTGATAAATTTACACCTGTAACCAATTCATCAGGCATGGGGAACAGGTGCAGCACACATGGCCACACGCTCTCTAGTGATAGGAAATCCCACAGTACACATCCTTTGGGAAATGATAAAAACCAACTCAGCAAAAATATGAAAAAAACCTGAACTTCCATGTATGTACAATGTACATGTACATTTGGGAGCTCAGTTTTATGGCCTTGCCTCAATAAGGGAAATCTAGTTTACATACAAAGATCATAATCCCATATAGAAAGCTAGCTTTATTTATGAAAGCCACATTGTTGTGTATTTGAGCATAAACTGACCAAATTCCTTACTTCATAATTCAGTTGTCATAGAAGAAATGTTCTTAATTATGAAATTGTTGATAATAATGTCTGTCTTTGACAAAAGGGTACGTGTACATTTGTTGAAAATCATTATGCATGTCATATCAGGAAGACAAATCACATTTAGGGCCTGAAAAATGAATGTTTTTGAAGTTCTCACAATTATTGCATTCGTTGAAAATGTTACAAGGTTAGAAAAGCAGCCAATTCTGTTTATTCATGTAGACTACATGCACATGTAAGTCTGTGATGGGACAGATTGCCAGATCATTCACTCTGATACGGGAATTCAGTTACACAGATAAGAAAGCCACCATAAGTATATTGTGGGATCGCTTAGCACAGGAAAATGCGCTAAGCCAGTCCATATGTCTGATTGAATTATTTCCAACTGAGACAGCAAAGTGCCATGCATAGTGCATTGTACCACTATCAACACAGAAATGATCAGATTTTACAAATTCTGCTCTGGTGACTTTATCCGGGTTTAGTTACGCTATGTTGATAATTGCACCAGCCCCCCTAAAATGTAGCTACACCCAGATGTGCGTGTTAAGTA